GATAAAGGCGCTGGCCCCTTCAACTCACGTCGCGACATGGAAATCTGGTTCGATTCTCGTTTGACAGTGTGCCGTCAATATCGCAATGCTCCCCGCGATGGGTTCAGTTTCATCGATAAGCTTCGTCCGCTAGTCCTGTGTCACTTGGATATCCATACGCACAATGTCATTGTCGATAAGCAAGGGTCGCTGTGGCTCCTGGACTGGGAGTTTGCAGGTAGATATCCTCCCTATTTCGAGGGGTTGTTCATGATCAACGATCACGACAACCCTGAATTCACAGCGCGTCTCAAAGCCTTGCTGGAGAACCCGGAGCACAAAGACCAGATTGCCAGAATTGAGAGCATTGGGTTTGCCGTTACGACAGGGAGAAAGATTGAACCCAGCAAGGAGGTGTTGTTGGACCGTCAGCAAATTGCTCATATCCATATCGCCATTTGATACAAAGCTTGCAGAGTCCGATGGAAAAGCATGAGTTCGTAATAATACGTATGCTCAAAGACCACAGCTGAGGAACCGTAATATTCAACCGCATGTCCTATATTGGGATGCAAAATTCGCATCTCCGAGCAAATATACAAGGACAGCGTCTCGACGATCTTCGCTCGAATACACGATGGCCACACTCATGACGACGGAGCGATCGTGTACGCCCTCCAAAGCTACGATGCTTAGGTACTCAAGTCTAAACTCCTTTGGTTATTACTCCAGTGTCACCTGCGAATAATCGAATGCAGTCTGTGATCATTCGGGGGTTTATTCACGCTGCTCTGATTCTCCGGGGATTATATCTTCAGCCTTTATTGCGAATTCGGCAAACGCTGAGCGTTCATTGCCATTCGTGTTTCACGTGGCGCCTCTGAGACTCAGATGAGTTTTGACATGGAGGGCATGGAGCGAAACGTGTTTCTGCGCAGAAGCGTCAACTTAACGACCCTACGAATAATACAGCAACGACGAAAATGATGGCGATTCAGCCGCGGCTTGATTGAAGTCTTCCATGGTGGTAATGCTTGTCCAGTATCACCGAAGTGTCTGTGATCACGCAGTGCTTTGGGGGGTATGTTTAAGCTCAACGAAGAAACGACCCCTTCTCTGTGGAACTCTGTGCATTCTGAGGGACTGGATTGCCATTGCTGTCCCATACCACATTTGTAGCATCGACTGCGACATCGACACTGTTCAAGTATCCTTTCTGTTCCAGAAGTTTGAGAACGTGCGCTACCCAATATCTGCAGCCCTGTCCCGAAGCTACGAATTTGTATCGATCATATCCCGCCTCGATGATGCACTCTAGGAATTTTTTCGTGGTCAAGCCATTTGGTCGGAATTCGAAGCATCGCGCGCTGTGCTCCGTGGAAAGGTTACGCTTAGGGGCCAACGTTAGACTCAGTCGGTTGCCATTCCCTAGGCTTGGATCAACTTGGATCGAAGAGTCGTCGGCTGTCGCGAAGAAAGAATACCAGTGGTTCGTTTGTTTATCAGACGGAGGTGCAAAGACATCGCTCGAACCCGTCATTGTGGGAAAATCAGCAATGACAAATAATTGCAAGACCGGAGAATCCGCAAATTGACCGGAAGCGGCAGGGGGATCCCATTCAATCGCGGAAGAACTCATTGCTGTTTCGATTGGGTCGTATAGCTTGTGATGGGGAAAAATTGTGACATGAAATCTTTGGATGCTGCTCAAAATTGCAGTCGTGCAACGAGCACATCGCACCGCTATTTACGTCTGCCAGATGGCAACAGATTAGGTCGATAATGTAGTAGTATAGGCCTTAGAGTAGTTGGTAATTGAATTAAGTCCCCACCGCCGCGTAGAGGAGCCGGCACGGTTATAACAGCTTCTCCAACCGCGCTGTCATGGTTTCGCTGCAGGGAAGAGTCCGGGAAGGAGAAATCAACAGTGAACATGCCGGGTGATGCTATGAGAGCATTCCAAGATTGGTATTGACGGTGGTGGTTAGGGTTGCTGGGATCACCCCTGCCGAGCTGTTCACGTTCGTACACGATCTTGGACATGGGATTGTCAACGATTTAGCCTTTTCCCTCCTTCACCATCGGCGAGTACAGTATCGTCGTGAGACACCAGAGAGAGCAGTGTACGTGTGGTTCCGTTGCCTATCAGATTGGAATGCAGTGTAGTTGCCCAGCGCGTTGCTTACCAAGCGGGCGTTCCCTCTCGACACGAATACATACGCCAACCTGGAAGGACACACTTTGATACGGCTCTGCTAGCGATCTCCACGACGCCATCCCGCACGCTATGTCGTCTGCGGATTCTGCACATCCAATGACCGCCGAAGGTCCACACTGTACACGCGGCGCGCGGACGAGCAGTCCATGCACATATGTACACGTCCTGCACAGCACATAGAACGAAACCTCCAATACCACCGTGACGGCCGGCACAGCGCATCACATCCATTCGACGAAGAGACGAACAAACTAATAGAAATGACCTTCGGCTCCTCCAAATCTATGATCATAACAAGTGGAGGAGGGATTTCCACCCTCAACCCGCGACGATCATATTCCCATCTCTATCACCATGCATGACAGAGAGGTGGAGGAGCGCAAGAAGAGCTGGAGGAGGCGAGGATTCCGAGACCAGTCGTTTGAGACACGTGCTCCGTCATCAGCTGAAAATGGAGATTGATTCGCATGCGCGGCGATCTTACAGCCTCATCTGCATTATCACAAATCTGCGTGTAGATCTGCTTTTCCTACTGTTTTTCTGGAAGGAAATTAGTGGTGTCCACTTTTCCGTCTTTTGTGTTGAGATAGAAGTCTCTCCACTTCTCGTCAGATGTGGTTTTCTTTGTTCCTTGATAATTATGGGAAGCGTGGAACCTCGCCCGAATCACGCTGTTGTGACATGCACGTGTGCGTCATATATGGGGAGCCCTGGTCTCCCGCGGAGATTGCCCACCAGCCCGGAGATAAGGTCGAGGAGGGCAACAGGAATGACACAGTGTCCTGGGAGTATGTGAACTATATACATTCTTTCCAGATCCATCTTTCCCTGGCGAGTAGATCCTGCTTGGACAGATATGAGTATGCTGTAGTAGTGATGTAGACTCGGAATTGCTGGAAAGGACAGCTGGGGGATCGGCCAGGTGCTACTTTGCAAACAGACGGGCGCAAAGGATGGGAAACAAGCTGGAGGATCGGTTGGTCCCTGGCTGAGTTCGCCCGAAATTACACCTTTTTTAATCTCTAGTTTCTCGGAAGCCGAGTCTCGAAGCCGGCGTCGACAGATGACAAAACCCGATGTTGGAGGAGTGTTCATTATGATGTGCGGCGTGGAGGTTGATATATGAACAGACCTTGGATGTCTGCGGTTGGGTTTGCTATTTGTCCGCGTTCGGAACACCGCTTCCGATGTGGTACAATACAGGACATCTCCAACTCGACTTCTATGCCTCCTTCCGATCGACAAGGAGAGTCGCTGTTTCTCAATGGAAACGATTGATGGCGTACAATTCCACGAACAGCAGTAATGAGGAAGATGATACACTCTCGATACAGTGGAGGTAGTCGTGGTGGACCACACCCTGAGTTGATCCGTTGGGCTCTGTGGAGCAAGTCTCGCCCATATCAGTGAGGATCATTTCATGCACGATGAGGTCGATGGAGATCAGCCCTGGGATCGATTTCAAGATGGATTGGAACACTCTGTCTGTCTAGCGTACACGTTTCTTCTTGTGAGGAATTCCGCGATTTATCCACGATATCATCGTACGTACGCAGTGTAGTTCCTCTCGAACATGGAACATCGTCGTGGACCCGTCTGACTCGTTCTTCGCCGTCGATCCGGTGTTTTTTCTACTGTAATAATACAAATAACAAATTCGGTCCAGGACGCACTGGCGCGCGGCGACGACTGCGGCCGGGTCCCCGTTTTCTCCACCGCCCTTCTCTTTCTTCTTCCCCAGCTTTGACAGGACTGGGACGTTTCGTTTTAGTCACTGCGCGTGGTTATCGGTCGAGAATCCCATCCATTCGGCGACTCACCGCAGCGGCGTCACTGATCTGGACATGATTAATCGGGCCATCACTGCCTCCTGCTCCTCTACCCTTTCTTTCGAGGACTGATTCTTATCCTCACTCTCGACAGCACGGCATTTCCTCCTCTCTTCCTCTGGAGACGTGGACGAAAACACTCGATCTCGCGGGATACGCATTACTCCTCCCTCCTCACGATGTCTCCTCCGTCCACCAGCTTCTAGACAGGCTCTCCAGCTCGCCAGGGACTTTCTTCGCAGGCGCAAAAAACGGCACACCCTGCATCGTTATGGCTCAGCCGCCAGCCATCGTCATCATTGCCAGGTAGGTGATTTTGAGCCGCAATACCTTCTTCGCGAGCTTCCGATTTTCGCCGACTATTGCATCGACATTTATTACATCTCCATGCAAGTTGTTGGCGCATTCGGTTCATCGTCCTGAATTTGATCTGCGAATCACGACCATGCCCTGGTCGCTTCACATGTCGTGCGCATTCGACATTCAAGCTGGCCGCCCGAACAAGACATCGCCTTGCTGACATGTTTCGCTCTCTTCCTCCAGACATGGCATGCGACTCGATGCTGCCGATCAATCATGGCATTTGTCGACACCTACACCATACGACCCGCCGCTGACATATGGCGGGTGGAATCAGAGCCGCGCTCTGGGGATGCGCATCGCCAGTCTACTGCATGCCCGCGAACAGGAGGCTGATGCTCCATCGCATCATCACGGAACCACTTCACCACCGCACTCGGGCCATGCAGCCAACACACATCACAGCAACCGGAAGCGGAAACGAAAGCACCGCGTGGTAATACATTCCTCGCCCTTTCTCCGATGTCTCCAGACCGGAGTCGCTATAGCTGCAGGCATGGCACAATACGAGCCTCCCCGAGAGGCGGTCATATCTCCCAGCAATTCTCGGCCGAATCTCACACGATACCGGACCGCTGCTCAGCTCTACTCGGCTACTGCGCGATTCCGCAGTATGGATCCTTCCTCGTTGGCGCCGCACCTGGCATCAATCGCTGAACCGCGGAACGACTTCGCGCATGATCTGGCGCGCAAGAGTTTGCAACACGAACATCGGAGACATCGGCAGGCAAAGATGCGGGTGGATCCCTTCCTGGGTGAATGGATGAACCCGCAATACTTCGAGCACATTACTCCTCCGCCGCCGAGCTGTATGATGCTAGCGACTGCGAAGGTGGAACTGATGCATAATGAGTCGGTGGATGTCTACATCCCTAATGCCCCGACGACGAAGCCTTCACCGGATCTATGGAACGGTACGCAGAATCACTCAGGTGCTAGTCGAGAGAGCCCACTGGACGACTGGTCGTCCATGCATGACGGGTTGACAATGGCCGGTCCATCGCATCGTCGCGACCGGGCTAGCAGCACGAGCAGCGTCGGCAGCAATGACAGTGGATCGGGGAGATCGCCTTTCCGATCAGGACATGTTTTGCAACCTCTCACGTCGACCTTCTCCCATCATAGCCACCACCAGCATCATAGCAATCACCATCACCACGGCCACCACCACGGGAGCCATGTCAACAACTCCAATTCAGATTCCTTCACATACACACCGCCGACACCGAGCTACTCAGTATCGAACTCCGACCACATCCCGAGAGGATACGTTTCGCACGCACGGAATGCTTGTGTAAATGTGGATAGAAATTGGGATAGCAGCCGGCCGCCTTTAGAATGGGGAGATGGTGGAGAACTGGGAGAAGAGTGGTCATCGATGCACCGACGATTTCGAAGGGGTCTGAACAATCTGATGGAGTGGTACAGCCAACACAACGCGGACGATCGTGGAGAAGATGCGTTGGGATTTGATCAAGCAGAGCGAGGAAACGGTGAAGAGGACGAACAGGAGGATTTGGTCTTGATCCTGGTGACGCATGGAGCAGGATGCAATGCGCTCATCGGCGCCCTCACAAATCAGCCCGTTTTACTGGACGTGGGAATGGCCAGCTTGACCATGGCCGTGCGGCGGGAAGAAGCACCCACTCTCCTGCCTCGACGCTCATCCTCAATGAGTATATCTCAAGTGATGAATTCCTCGCACTCCGGCTCGCCAGGGCCTTCTCCCGGCAACTTCAACGAAGGACGGCGTCGCAGCAGCAACTTGGATATTGGCCTCAGCAACATGTACGACATGAAAATCGTCGCGTCGTCGGAGCATCTTCGGGCCGCACCGGATCCGAATAAACAGCATGTCAACGCCTCGAATGCAGCTTCGTCGGCGAATCACTCTCGCGAACATGGGACTCGATCGCGGCGGCATCGAGCAGGTTCCAACAGCGACGCTCGACGGGAATCGTCCACTGATCCGGATCGACACCGCAGTCGTAGTCGAAGTAATACGAGCACTGCGTTGGGGTCGATTCGGCGTCCTAGCCTCCAAAGCGGCATGCCATCCCGGCAACCTTCTCGACAAAATTCCATCTCGGGCTTGAGTCGCGTGGAGAGTTTCACCAATGTTATTCCCGTCTTTAGTACCTCGGTAGGACTCTGGCAGCCTCCGGGATCGGGTTCGGCATCAATGGAATCCTCGGCAAGGAATTCTCCAGCGACGTTCACACTCGGGGATCACTCTCAGCCCCACAGCCCACCACCACCTATCTTCACTCCTCCTCTCGAGGAACAACGCCGTCCCAGCATCCAACACAACATGATGCTCGATTTCGCAAACTCTCCGCCTGACTCTCGAGTCCAATCCCCTCGCATCATGCCGTCACCATCATTGCTCACCGGCGATACCACAGAAGGCGGCCTCAGCCCACACACCCGCCCCAAAGACGAAAATGACGACACCGATGACGACAACAAATCTACTCAACGGGACAGCGTCCTCGGTGCCTCTGAATCCCACGACCATCTTCTAACCATGGCCGCCGCCGGTGTCGCCGTGACCGCCTCTCCACCCAAAGACAGCGCCCCTCCCGCCCAGAGCCTCTCCCCAGCCGAGACCGCGACTCCCTCCAGTGACCCAGACGACCATCTCGCCGAGCCCCCAACCTCCCTCGTCCCACCACCGACGATCCGTCGGGGCCTCAGCCAACGCGGTCTTTGGGGCAGCAGGCCCACCGGCGATGCCATCCCTCATCGCTTCGACCTCAAATCCAAACGCCGCTGGACCTCCGCGACGCAGCCGACAGGGCCCTTGACCCGTGAGGAAATCTCTGAAATCCTCTCCAGCGGCGACGAGAGCAGTCACCGCAGGATCAAGGCTGCAGATAAGAACGCCGCAGGCCTACCGCGGTCTACCTCCACCTCGCAACTTTATTCTTCCTCTCCATCCTCCTCCTCTTCTCTGTCGGCGGCGGAAATTTCCGCCTCATTGCCGTTACCTGTCCCGTTCTCCCTCCCGCCGGCGTTCACGGCTCCCTCTTCGCCGCTCTGCCATGGCCACGATCATGATCGCGTCCCATCGACCCCCGCATCCGAAGTATCAACCCTAGCAGGAGAACAGGGGGCCAAACTCCCCACCCTACCGAATCCTCCCGCCATCGTCCCAAAATTCGCACTGCTACCACCTCCGATCGCGGGTGTTGTGTCGGAATTTGCTACTACTACTACTTCGCCCTCTGGCCCTGACCTCACGCCCGCCGCTTCCGATGCGAGCATGAGTCTCCTCGAGGATGACCATCACAACGAAGGCGAAAAACCCATGATGCAATCTTGTTCAACACCCCCTTCTGCTTCTGCTTCCGATACTACTCCCGCTCCCGCTCCCGCTGCTGCCGCTGCGACGCCCTCGCTGTGGCAGGCTCCCGCAGCGCGACGAAACTCGGGGCTTTCAACCCAGTAACCGCTTTCCACCCGACGACGCGAACACGAGGCGACGAGAAACGGCATTGAAGACGATCCCGGAAGGCGCACATATCATCTTCCTATCGGATATCCTTTGACGAGCCGATGATCTCCACCGCTCCTACTGGGATCTTCCGCCTCATGCTTTCCGCGGGCGTTATTCGATAAAGGGGGGATAAAATGATGGGCTTGTTCCTCCGGGCTCGACGACCTGACGAAGGAGTATTCTCTACGACGACGCGAGTCTTGTTTTTCTTTTTGGCCGTCATGTGTCTCCCCCCGACCCGCCTTCGGCTGTGTAAAATATGGGAATTTTTTGGTCTTATAAAACCCTTCGGCGCTCGCAATATGGAAATTTGGATCTCTTTCAACGTCTGGTCTGGCCTGAGTCATGGGAGCGAATATTATTGTATGTCTTCATAGATTACTTGAGATCATCAGCGATGGGGAGCAGCGGGAGTCGTTCTTCCTCTTCTTCGTGCAACCTTTCTTTCTTCTCGGGTCGTTTTTTCGGTGCTTTTCGCCGCAATGTATTGATAGGTGGACGGCGTTCTTCTTTCACTTTTTTCCTCGTTGAGAATTGATGTTCCACAAATTGAGCAAATTTCGGGACGAAAGGCCATAATTGCCCCCCCCCCTCTCTCTTCACAAGAATACTCAGGGGCTCGATGTCTCGTGGAGAAGAAGATCGCAGCTTCCCTCGGGAGATATGATATTTCCCGGAACCCCCATTGATTAATCTCACGGTTCGTGTGTCGCGGACAAGATACCACCCAGGCAGTTTCAGGACTCCCGTCCGCGTTGAGAGCAGAGTACGCTCGTTGCCATGATCCTCATAGGATTGATTGTTTATAGTAGGGACTCTTTTTTCCATATACAAATCATCATCTCATTCTTCCATCCCTCGATCGCGATCTCGAACTCCGATGGCGTCCCGTCATCATCCTCCGATCATGACGATCCTCCCTTCGACCCTGGGGGCGATGCTCTTCGTCCAGTCCGTCCGCCACCCCCCGCCGGATCCCGCCCTGCCATAGAGAAGATCATGATGTTCGCGGTCGGCCTCTGGAGCAGCGGCTGCCGCCGCGAGGTTGAGGTGCACGATGCGCGCCCACCTCCTCGTGTATTTCCTCATGAGGAACCTCATCCGCTCACCATCCTCCCGGTCTCCGTTCCCCTGCTGGGCCGCGACGCTCCCATCCTTCGCTGCTGCTGCTACGGGCTCGAGAACCGTCTCCACCCGATGCAATCTCTCCTGCACGCCCCCCCAGAAGTTCCGCATGTCCCCGTCGAAGACCGTCCATTGGCCCACGGCCTTCAGACTCGAGAAATACTGCCTCAGCAGCGTCGACAACAGCAGCCCGCCGCTCTCCTCGCCCACGACCATCCTGGTCCGGCCTCCCTTCGAGACGGGCAGAAGGTCCGTATACCCGTCCTTGCCGCGCGCCATATACTCCCTCGTGGCGAGCGTGTACTCCCTGCCTTCGTCCAGCGGTTCGCCCGCGACGTGCATCGCGGTGATGCGGCGCCCGGGCGGCAGGCGGGCGTCGAAGACCAGGCGGATGCCCGCGACCTGCGGGAACCGGCCCTCCTGCGAGGGGTACTGGCCCACGGCGTTCTCGAGCGCGGCTTTCAGATCCTTCCCACGGATCGCGAGCACGACGCAGGGGTCCTCGAACGGGAAGCAGGACATCAGGTCGCGCGCGCGCAGGACCCCCGCCGGGTAGATCTGGTCGCCGCGGATGGTCCCCGCCGCCAGCACCGCGCAGTCCGCCCCGTAGTAGTGCTGCATCAGGTCCGCGATGAAGTTGCCCATGTTGGACTCGCGCGTCCGCACCGTGCTGAAGCGCGCGTCGAGCGGCACGGCGGTGTGGGCGAGGGGCTTGTCGAGCGTGCTGCGGAGGGAGGCCGTCACGGCGGAGATCCGGGAGAGCGCGGCGGCGTCCTCGGGGATGCTGCTGAGGATGTCGCGGCGGGTGATGGTGAAGTCCCATTCGGATGCTGGGTTTTCTATCCGCGGCTTTGTCCCTTGTGGTGGTTGTGGTGGACCCCGACGACGACGGCATTCCAGATACGAGAGCTGTTTGAAGTCCGTCCCCGAGCGGAGGATGTGCGTCCCGTTGACCACGGCGTGGCCATAGAAATGGTCGTGACCGCCCAAGATGAGATCCACCGCCCCGGGAGGTAGATCATTCGCGAGTTGCACGTCATTAGGTTCCCTCTGATGCGTCACGCAGACCACCATCTCCGCGCCCTCGCCCCTCAATTGCTCCGCAAACTGCCTCGCCGTCTCGGCGACATCGAGGAACACCAGGTTCGGCGGCAGGGCATTGATAGTGTCGAGCCAGTCGCGTTCCACGAGGCCGATGACGCCGATGCGGGTCCCGTCGGTGGAGCGGAGCATGATGCTGCGTTGGCATCTCCCGAGAGGCACGTCGGGGCCGTGGGCGGGGTCGAGCACGTTCGCGCAGAGCCAGGGGAATGTGCAGTCGGCGGCGAGGGATTGGAATTGTTCGACGCCGAAGTCGAGCTCGTGGTTGCCGAGGCAGGCGACGGAGGTTTTGATCGCGTTGAGCGGGGTGACCATGTGCTTGCCTTTGGTGACGCTGCTTTCGAGGGAGGGGCTGAAGGCATCGCCGCTGGAGATGGTGATGATTCGTCAGATGGTAGTTCTTTTCTTCCCGTTCGGGGACGACGCGACTGCGTGTCGAGGATGTTCTCACCTGAAGAATGTCAAAACCCCGGGCCCGTCTTGCGCATGGTATTCCTCGACGACCGTCTGGAAGCGTGCTATTCCTCCCACGGGTTCCCGGGAGCCGGGTTCGAGGTGATAGACATCATTGTAGTGGATGAAGCGAAGGTCTGGGGGGCAGGATGTATCTCCGCTGGTATACACGGTGGATTCTGAAGCAGATGAAGAACGACCCGATCAGTTCCAACACTCTCCTACGACCGGTATGGGAATTCTCTTGGGATGGTTTATCACGCACCTCCAGGTTTTGCGCTCATGTCTGCAGCTTAGGGAACGCCTTGTAATTCCCGGGAAATCGGTCTTGGATTCGAGGTGGTGAACCTCGACCCGGGCACTGTTGATATTTCACCTGGGATGGGGATAATTACGACAGTTCAGCGAAGGAATATGGATTGCGCCTCATTTCCATTCCATGTCAGGAAGAATATATGCCTCGCGTTGTTTGCGCTTGAAAATAATTCCGTGGCCGCCTGCATCCTGGTGGGATTGGATGAGATGAGGTGACGTTGGCTGGCGAGGAATCCTTGCTATCTTGGCAAAACGACAACACATGACAAAAACGAGGCAGGCGCGAATGGAACAACGCAAAGAATAACAATTCGTCGAGTCGTCGTAAATCTTCATTATAGCCCATAAAATCTACCGGAGAAAAAAAAATAGCGCATGATTCCCATGACTCTCCCTCCTCAATTCCGTGAAGTCCTCGCGTTGATAGATCATCACCAACCCCCCTCCTCCATCCTCAAATCCAGATCAAAGATCCCCTCCTCCCCCTCCCCAAACACCATCATCGCCGCATCCTCCTCCCCATTCCACAACCCGGCAAACGCACCATTCCTTCCACCGGCACTCGTCAAGTCCATGGCAAAAGGGGATTTGGTCGACGGGCTGTTCCCCATTGCGATCCCGACGCCGTTTCCAATATCAGCCCCGGCAGCAGGCGCAGGGGCGGTGGCCACGGTGGCGTCCTCCAGCCGGAAGAACTCCTCGACCTGATTCTCGAACAGCGCGAGGCTCGTCTCGGGGGAGGTTATCGTCGGGGTCTGTCGCGGCTGCAACAGGGTGTAGGACGGAGCAGCGAGGAAGAAATCGGTCGAGGTCGTGGTCGGACTGACTGTCGACGTCGATGCGGAGCCTGCAGTTGTAGTGGCAGCATCTCTGACGATACTGCTAGGGTCGAACGCGAGATTCCGCTGCGGCTGCTGCGGCTGCTGGAGGGAGAAGAGGTCCTGGCCGATATCCCCGATGGCGTCGAGGCCGAAGGCATAGTTTGGCGTGGACGACGAGGTGGGGTGTAAGCGCGGGTCGAGGAGTTGCTGCTGTTGCTGTTGCTGTTGATGATGGTTCGGTGGCGGGAAATGGAAATAGTGGCCGTCCAGGCCCACGGGCGGGGTGGTAGGTTCGTCCTGCATGCGGAGGATGCTCTCGGCGCGGAGGCTCGCGGCGACGACGGTATCGGCGGGGAGGGCGAGGGGGTCGAAGACAGCGTGCGTGTCGATGGGCAGGCCCGGTGCACCCCCGACCCCGCCGGCGGGGAACGATGAGGGGGAGAGCAGATGGCCGAGTTTGTTCGATCCGGAGCCGAGTTTCCTGGTGACGCGCGCGGCGCGTTCGGGTTCCAATTCGGCGTCGCACCAGCGCCACATGCGCGGGCCGGGGGTGTAGACGCCGTCGACGAGCGCGACGTCGATGTAGTTGCGGTGACATTTGCGATGGGCGCATTTCTGCGGCCCCTGGTAGCCCGAGTTGGTCGAGGAGAGGTCTTCGTAGATCTCTTTGAGGTCGGACCGGCGGAGCTCCAGGGCGCGTTGGTACGGTTTGGCGACTCGATGGGAGTCCCGTGGGGAGGAGGAGAGGTTGATGCCGTTGTGCTTGGCGTCGAGGCCGTTGAGGGATTCGCTGAAGGCTTGGAGTTGCAGGGCGAAGGGGATGCGCAGGCCGAGGTCGCCGTAGGTCTCGAGATCATCGGGGATTCGAGCGCCCTGGCCACCGATTTCCGTGGGGACGAACTGTGAAGGATGTCAGCTGTTGTTTCGATCGCGAGATGCTTTTTCTCTCATCAGAAAACGCCGGTAGAAACTCACGTCCAAACCAGAAGCCTTCTTGAATAAACCCAACCACTCCGGATTGTCCGCCGCGGTCTGATTCCACGAATCGTCCGAATCATAGATGATCCGGCGAGCCTGGGCCTGCAGCATTTCATCCGTGACGGTTTCGCCCTTGGCAGCCATCTGCTTCGCATACCTGCCGAGGTGAATCGTAAGCATTTCCCAACAAGTTGTCCGGGTACCGGATGGCTTCTCGGGCACGCCGTCGCGCAGCAGATTTTCATCATCCGGCAGCGACCGATCGACGACGAGGGGCGTGGTGTTCCACCTCGACGCGCTGAACGGGTTCGGGCTGACCGTCTCCACGCCGATGAGATATGGCGGCATGGCGTTCGAGACCTGCGCCGCGACGGCCGGGTCGAACCCGCGACAGCCCTTCCACTCGGTCATGGTCGCGCCGGCTTTGAAATGCGCGACGAGGTGGTCCGTACGTTCCGACCATGTGGCGAAGCGCTGCGAGCAGAATCCGCAGCGGCTGTTGATCTGATCGGCGGTGGAGCGCCAGGATTGCATCGCGGGACGGAGCTCGCAGCCGTGCATGAGGCGGAGATGTTGACGGAGGTGATCCTTCCTGTAGAAGGTCCGAGAGTCGAGACCCTTCTCATCGCACTGTTTATGGTTGTGTGTTTCGAGATGGTCGGCATCTGGGTTCGGCTCGTCGCAGTATGCACATCGCGGTTCGCCTGTCAGGCTGTTTGTGATGATCGGTCCGTCCGGGACACAGATCCATTTCTCGAGGGACAGGTGGAGAGACTTTTCATGCCGAGTCCAGTCGTATTTCGTTCGGAAAGTGTCCGTGCAGAAAGTACATTGGAATATTCTTTTCTGCACGGCTGAAGTCTTGGACAATGGAGGAGCACGCCGCTTCCGCTGCCGTCCCTTCTTACCGATCAAGCTCGAGCCGAACGATCCAAACGAGCCATGCGTCGATTTCGAGCGAGACGATCCATGAGAGAATGCCGCGCTGGACGCTGACATGGACGATGTCATCCCCGAAGATGTCTCCTGGGAGACAGTGGAGGGGGCATGAAATCGAGAGGGGTTGGAGCCGCTGCTGGAGCCTTGACCGCGTCGACCATGACTCGGCGTCTCCTCTGCTGGCGTCTCCGAGGGTAGATCGGATTGAACGACGGCGTAGACGATATCATTCAGGGCAGCAGGTTCGTTTTCTGGGGGCGAGTTTCTCCATCGTTCAAGCGGGTTGAGCTCGTCCCAAGGTTTGTCTACTGCGATAGGGATGGCGATGGGACTGGTCGTCGGTTGCAGACGTGGCGAGCGGCCGAGCTTTGATTTGTTCTTCTCCGCAATCTTCCGCCGGCGGCGGCCATTGGCGAGGTAATTTGTGATTTGTGTCGGTGTGAGTTGGGTTTCCAATTCCAGTTGAAGCCGCTGCTCCTCGGTGGGATAAGGGTCCGATTTGTGTGTTTCCAGCCAGTTTCGTAAGATCTTGACTGCGAAACGTGGGAATCGGATCCCTTTTCGCTTGGGCGTCTCCGAAATCATAGCCGAAGGGATGGATGACGCAGCGTTCTCGCCCTGCAAATCTTGCTCGGCATCCATCTCAGCAGCGAGGCATGTGTCTTGCCCGACAGCAACATCTTCATAGACCGGGCGGAAAGTGCCGGAGGTCTTGTTTGCGGACGGACTTTCGATATGGAATGGGTGGGAGAGTGCAAGACTGCAATCTTTGGCGAGGATGAAGCAGGATGTGCACTTGGGCTGTCCTCCCTGTGTGTAGCACTGTAATTTATGTGCGCGGCACTGGTCACATGGCCGATCGGGCCAGACATGTTGCGGGATCCACTAATCAAGGCTCAAGTGTCAGGGACGAGAAAGGTGATGATATCGACTAGATCTCGTCTGAATGGCGGCGAACCTACATTTTGAATCTGGTTGTAGTCTGGTTCAGCAACAGGGTCGATTGTGACGTCTTGTGGCGCAGAGGATGGATCCCACTGCGCGATGAAACCATCCTGGCAAAGGCAATCGGAGACGCCTGGGTGTAGCGGGCACGCGAGCATGAGAAGGTCCTCGGAGGTGAGGCCGAGAGGGTCCAGCTGGTCAGCAAAAGTCCCGGCCAATGACAGTGAAGGGATCTCGTTATCGATCTGTGGAGGCGGCGGCGGCGGTGGTAAGACTTCAAGCATGTCCTCGTTTTCGTCCTCCATGATGGTGGTCATGGTGAAGGCTGCTTATCGCCCGTCCGTCTAGACCGGAGCAGCGGATGAATGAGGATGCGCGGCCGTGAGGGAATCAGGTAGTCATAGGGCGTGCAAACACTTCAACTCGAGTGAGAGAGGGAGATGAAGAAGGAAAAGAAAGGGCGTAGAGAAAAATAGACAAGGGACGAGTAGATCTAGAGACTTGGACGTCGGAGTGGATGAGTAACCACCAGCCTACACCTGTTTCTCAATGGGTAGGTCCTACCCAGCCGGCATGAACTGCCGCGATAAGAAAAGCCGGTCTGGGGTCGTAGAAGACTATGGGGTTTCTTTCTCCTACCTTCCAGAGCCTCTCCTCTCGGAATGGAAGAAGAAGAAAGGCAGCTCCAGCCAAGGCGCATACAACAACAATAACAAGAGCGAGGTCTCTGGCGTCGAGTCATACTCTCCAGCTTGCACATAGTCCTCAATGGAACCACCTACTGTAATGTGCGCGCTTTGCCCTGCAGACGATACGAGGGGAGGTGTAGTGAACTTGTCCAGTACAGGACAGGACAAAAACCAGCACGCCCTACGATAGACATGTGGAGTCCGCGCGCGTGAGCCCTAGAAAAGAAAGAACCGAACACCATTCGCCCGCCGGCCCGCGCGGATGGCTATATACACACACACACACCTGCTTCAGTTGGGAGGGAGCCGGCCCCGGAGCTGTGCCCGTTATGTCAGCAGCGGCCGGTTCCGTCGGAGTTTGACGGCGGCCGATAACGGAATTGGTGTGATACAGCACGCAGGTATCTATCTCCTTGGTCATGATAAGCATTGTGTGTCCCGCGATGAGAGGCGCGAGGAGATGGACGGTCGATATGCTCCGAGGTCTTCCACGTTCCCACGAGTCATGGTGGGAATTTGAGCGGACTGAGGAGGTGCTCCCCAGGTGGTCATCGGCCGGGATTTCGCTCGTGGCTGCTTCGAGTCACCCTCTCTTTCATAGGACGCAGGGTCAGATATACTGTGTCGTCAAAAAGCATCGGCACCTCCCCTGAGCACTGATGGCCTTCGCTGCTCGATGCCTGTCAGAGGCTGTCGAAGCATGATAGCATCGACCTTTACGAGTTCGTTCCGCCTAGTTTCGTCAGGGGAGGGAGGGAAATCTCCGCGATTCAGAGGACGTTGCCGTCGATTTCAAGGTCTATCCGATTTCTAACCACATCATCGTCACATCCGTAAATCGGTCATCTCATCATCATGCGTCGTCGGCCAGATATCCATCCGCAGGGGAAAAATCAGGCAATGCAGCAAATATCATCCGTTGTCACCTCCGTTCCTCGAACGCCGAAATTTCATCACCGCTGCTGCCACTGCAACACCCACGGCGCCTTCCCGTGTCCATGTCCATTGTGGCCATACTGCACCCCGAACCCATCACCCGCCGCACCACCCATTCCCATCGCCGCAGAAGGACTCCAGCCGGCCCGGAGGCCCAACTTCGCCATCCCCTCCCCGAGCCCATCGTAGACGCCGCCGGAGAAGCTCCGCACGACGTAGACGCCGGCCTCCTTGAACGCCTCGCCGACGCGCCCGTCGTGCATGGCGCAGACGTTGCCCGCGAGGACCAGGGCCTGGCGGCCCAGGGCGTCCGCGGACGTCATGCCGTAGGCGAGCGCGCGGTCGCTGAGTTTGTGCTTCCGGTCCAGGGCGTAGGCTTCGCGGAGGAGGTGCTGGATGTATGGCAGCAGGAAGGAGGCGAGCAGGAAGAGGGAGTAGGTCAGTGTGGCGATGAGGCGGTGGAGGAGGGGTTGATGTTGTTGTTGTCGGTGGTGGTGCGGGGCTTGAGGGTTGAGCGAGGAGGTTGTTGAGAGGTGGGCTGTGGCCGCGGAGGAGGAGGAGGAGGAGGAGGTGATGGTGGTGTTCCCTTTTGTTGAGAGGGGGAGTTTGAGGGTGCCCGGGAGTGCTTCGCGGAGACTGAGTTCCTCGTCGGCGGACAACTCGCTGGGTAAGCCCCGGAGCATACAGGAGACGCCCGCGACGTATTGCTGTCGGATGAGGTTGGCGGCCGGTTGCGGTAGGGCGGCTTCTTGCGAGGCGAGGGAGAGCATGGAGAATCCCGCTTCGGCGTATCGCCATTGCACGCCGCTGCGGGCTTCTTCGGCCGGCACGCCCTCAGAGCTCGCAGGCCGGCTCGGCATGGTGTTGATGGGGACGTATGTCGAGGTCGATGGGGGATAGAAGTTGCCGATTTCGTCGTCGGAGGTGGCGGCGCTGGAGGAGCCGGAGCGGTAGGCCGGTGGAGGAGTGTTGTGGATATTCTCCGTCGCTGTGGAGCAACTTGACATGCGAGAGTGACAGGCCGAGTTCGGCGACGGCGAAGGTGAGGATGCTTGGAAGGCGGGCTCGGTATATGTTCGTCTGAGGGAGCGGAGACGCGGCATTCGCTTTTGTAGCAGAGAGGGGAGCATGGTGTAGAGTAGGACGGTTGACGATGGGGCCCCTGAGGATTCCTGTCCTACGGAAAGATGATCCTCATCATGTGGCCACGATGGTTTCCATTTAGGGTCCATGATGCGTTCTCTATCTGTTGGAAGCTTTTGAGGTCGCTTCGGCTGGGACCAATGTTCGAGAGATGGGCCACTCGATCAATTCCGTAACGGGGCGTGAGACTGGCGGCGCGTGGAGTCGGTTGTCGCTGCTGCGCAAATTTCACCAAACAGAGTCGTTCACGATGGTCTCGTGAGGTATTCAGCTGACATGTTCCATGAATTCCACAGACATCACGTTGAGGGAGGACAAGGAGGATCGTCCGACGAGGGACATGCGGAGGAGAAAGGTAGAGGAGAGAGTCATCTGAGGCTATTTTGGCGGTGGCCCATCCATCTCTTTCACATGTTTGCATGTGAAATTTGTCCCCGCTAGTGCAGTGTAGTGTAGATCTTTCATCGCTGTCAATTTTACGTGCGAGATTTGAAGCCCGAGAGGGGCTGGCTGGCCCGGCTGCTCATTACTACGCCCGATATTTCAATTCGTTTTGATGGGGTCCACGGGTGGATTTGATGGAAATGTTGGAACGTCGGGGTGCATGCATTGCAGGTGGGGGGTTTCTTTCGCCCAGCTGCCGCCAAACTTGTCCACATGTCCATCCACGCACGTGTTCGTCTCTGGTGCAGCCGTGAAGAAGAGAGCCAGCCACCAAGCCATCAATGGAGATGATACAGTAATATAGGACTCGTTCTCCCAACCCGACGAACTTCATAGAATGAATGGTCAACATCTCACCAAATCGCGTGCGTATATTCTCATCGCTTCTCGTCCCATCTCCCTTCCAACTCATCCCTCTTGCACAGAAGTGAAGGAGGAGCCGTCTGGCGAGGAAAGGTTTCCGGACCCCGCCCTCCTCCGAGGAACACCGACCCAGCACGACATTTCGGCTGTCGGCTTCTCTTCTCTTCTCTTCTCTTCTCGCATCTGCCGGCGAAAAAGCGGGACGCTCCCCGAGACCACGCGCGAGATTTGTCAAGCGCGGCCGCGATGGGCATTCTTTGGCAGGTGGGTGTCGACCACAGGTCCACCTCACTCTTGTACTCCACGAGCATGTTGGGATATTCTCGTTCAGCGGCGGAGATCGCGTGGTCATCAGGAGTTCAGTTGATCGTCAAGCGGTGAAAGACTACAACAAATCCAACCACGTCGTGATCACAACCTTGGAGGTGCAACACCGATAGAAATTGATGGGTTAAACCCGGAAAACGCCAGCGCACCCGTAGGCCTCAGTCCACCGATGGCAACAATGTCGGGAGCATATCTGAGACATTGCCGTGACGAGGATTGGCGTTTCCACATCATATAGATTTGTTTCCCAATCCTCCTTCCTGCTCATCGATTGTATGCGTGCACCAAACCAGAGCCGAGAGAGCGCGTACGCATATGTGGTCGAATCTGCACCCCGACACGCACCTTCCTGCTGCATATGTCCTGCACTCATCATGCACGCAAATGGCCGATCCAGGCCTCGATCGCATCTCTACTCCACCAAATTCACGGCTGCCGCCAGCGCGGGGCGGAGAGGCGTCTCGAGGGCGTCGGGCTTGCCCTTAAGTCTGGGTCTCAGCCAATTTCTCCGCGTGTTAGCCTCCGCGTCCAGTGGGACTGTTAGTATAGTCATCGTGCGGAATGTTGTTGGATGAGGTTCTTGGGAGATGGATGTATTCAGGTGTCCATTGTGCCGTTCAAAGAGAGGACTTTTTTTGTTCTACGAGAGGTGAAATTATGAATTACTGGGTGGGAGAATAGACGGGTGCCAGAGCTAAAGGTCGGCCTCTGGGTGAGGTTCCTCTCTCTGCCAACCACGATGGCGTCGCAGGTGAGGAAAGGAATGCGATGCGCTTCGACCGCCACGATTCCCAGGTCTCTGTGCACGACGGAAATACGTGACGATGACAACGACGATGGTGGAGAGAACAGACCTCGACGGACGCGGCCGAAACTGGGAAAGAATGATGCGCTGCGCTGTATGTATGTATGTATGTATCGATCAGTCGATATTGTATGCGTGTACAGTGTGCAGTGTCCAGTGTGAGTCAAGTCTTTCTGAACCTAGCGATTCTGCAGTCTCACATCCTACCTAGGTACCGTCCATCCGAACCATTGATGAAGCCGTTGGTTATCTTTTTTTTCCCCTTCAAAGCCTTTTGTGGCTGGGACCCGTCGTTCTCTGCCCCTAAGGCTAAACATATAACCCCCGTACGCCACCGAGATATAGAGAGATCTCCGTGGCGCTTTTCCAACACTAGGTCCTGCAGTCATTGTCTTGTACCTGCTTTTTGGTGCGGTCGTCATTGTGGAGTCTGTTGTTCGGGGAGTGTGAGCTCGTGACTCTTGCGGTCGCGGATATCATCCATCAGACAACTTTTGGGCATGATCTAGCGGTACTCCGTGCCTTCTGCATCGGTATTGGTGGTGGAGCTACTTCGGACTTTTTTGCCTCTCGGCGATCGACCTGCCGCCTGTCGAACTTTCCCGCCGCAGGTCATCGCTCCCACCTTCCTTATCAATCTCACATCGCTCATTTCACAGCACCTGTGACGACAAGAACGACGACCTTTCAACGACCACGGCCATCTCCAATCATCATCTCCATCTGACCTGGAAACACACAAACATCCTCATCTAACCTCCCGTCTCTCGATCTACTCCTCCGCCTCCACCCTCTCCATCGCCACCCTCGCGCCCGGGGTGAGCGGACACGCGCACAGTCCTGCACCATGGGGCGATCACGACATCTCACGACCAGCAGCATGTCACGCCGAAGAACACCTCAGCTCCAGCCATCCCCCTTCTTCTTCCTCCTCCTCCTCCTATCCGCCTCCACCGTCTCCGCCCAAGACACCACCCTCGCCTCCGACGGCGCCGCCTACCCGACCGGGACCTGGGCCGGCAGCTACCAGAGCTACTACTTCGTCAGCATCGCGCTGGTGCTCTGCGCGCTGGGCTTGGCGCTGTACTTCTACATCAAACGCAAGAAGCAGAACATCCTGACCAACCGCTACCACGGCGGGGTCGTCCCCGCCGGCCACGGCCCCGCCCGCATGGTCGACGGCCAACAACAAGCACCCTGGGACGGCGCACACACCCGCCGCCGCTACTGGCAGGGTCGCTGGCGGATGGACAACGGTGCTGGCCAGAGGAATATGGAGGAAGGGCTGAATGAGCACGGAGAGGCCCCGCCGCCTTATATTCCCAAAACGCAGCAGGGTGGCGTGTCGGAGACGACGGCGGCGGCGACACCGGCGACGACGACGACGCAGCAGGGCCCGGCGATTCCATTGCAGACGCTCTCGAGGGATCACGCGGGCCTGAAACCGCCGGACTACTCACCCGCGACGGCGAATGTGAACGGCGGCGGCAGACCCGTGGAGAGCAGCGTGCGGTTCGCGTGACGATGCTTCGTTTCTGCTTTTTTTTAACTTTTCTTCTCCTCTCGAGTCCCGAAGAGATATGGATTGCGGAATCGAGTGCCTCCGGACTATTCCTTCCTCTGATCACGGCCGCCGGAGGAAGTCGTGATGTGGCTTTTTCTTTGCTTTGGGGTTCAATCAACCGCAGGGATGGGTTTCAGCGAGCGATGGCGTTGATGTTTTGGTTTTTGGTTTTTGGTTTCTTTCATCCAGTCTCCTCTTTCCCTAAAGGCAGGGAGGAACGGGGATCTGGCATCTTGGCACGCGGGGAGATGTTCTGTTCCACCTTCTCTCTCGGAGGAAGTACTTCTGCTACTGCTACTACTACTACATATCGGATCGACCTGTATGAATCAATCCTCACGTCGTTTGAATTCGGCAGTGTTGGCGTGACGGTCTCATCACGGATCCTGGTCAAACCACCACATCCTCACCGCTGGCCGCTGTTGGCATTCATTCAATGAGCGGGACGACTTCCCACTGCCACTAGTAGGTAAATCACCGCTTTTCACCGCGAGCATGTGACAACAAGACGAAATACATATTTAAAGAAAAATATTAAAAAAAAAAAGAAGTCCACAGCCAGCAAGCAGCCTGTCATCATCTATACATGCCGAGATGCGAAGGGTTGTAGGTGGGTGTGGGTGTGTGAACATGCGATCGGTGATCTCCCCGCCGGCGCGCGCGCCCAAAGAAACTCAAACCTCGGGCCGCCGCCGCCGTGCATCGTGGTCGTCGTGGAGGAAGTGGACCATGGGCGATGATGAGATCACAATTACACGATCATGTCTATTGCTACTGATGGAGAGGAGGAGGTTCTCCGACTTTGTACTCTCTGGATTTCCTCTGGTCGTTTGTTATTGCCGTTTGCAATTCATCATTGATCATTGAACTGTTGCTTGGAGATGTGCGGGCGAGCGAGTGAGAAAGGAAGCCGGGCAAAGGCCGCAATACACACGGTGAGAGAGAAAGAGGAAGCCGCGCAATAGCGGGTTTTATTTTAATTGGGAAAGATTGAAGCCGGTGTCGTCATCGCCTCGTCTGCCCATCAATATATGCACATGCAATAGAATAGTTCGTCAACCGCTTAGCTAGAGTACTGTCCATAGGTATATACCCACGAGCTACTCATCTCAACTCGCGCGCGGTGTTCTACATAACTAGCAGATCCCAATCCTCGAAACCACGCTTCCCTCCCTCCACGTCTCTTGTGCGCGCGCGACCTCGTCCCATCCTCGCAGTATCTCTCTCACGTCGAATCCCACTCCCGCCTCATCCTCGTCCTCCCTCGCGCGAGAAGAAATCCCAGAAGAAAAATGGCGGACTGCGGCATCGGTTTCTTCCCCATCTGCATCCAGTGCGGGACTAACGTAAGCCGATCTCTCCCAATCTTTGGGAGTTCTCTCTCTCTCTCTCGCACGGACGAGCCTAGCTGATCCTCTCTTTCTCTCTCTGCCTTAGCAAAACCCCTGCCACGTCAAGATCGTCGGACCGACGCTGGGGTTCGTCGTCGGTGTCTGTTTGGCGGTGAGTCGCGTTCTCGATCACTCCTCCTCCTGATGGAACGGAGTTTCCTATCCGGGGAATGCGTTGCTTCTATATGCGCGGACGAAGGCCGGACCAGGAAGAGAAGAGAAGCGAGGCATTGGGGAAAACAAACGATACAGGGAAGGATCTCCGCTTTTGCTGACGGTGTGGATTGCACAGGTTGTCTGTTGGCCCGCGGCGTTGTTGTGCGGATGTTGTGCGACCGAGGCGGGAAAGAAGTGAGTTTCCTCTCGTTTGCCTCCTGGTTTCTCTGCTCGCTCGCTTGTCTTGATTGCGCCGACATCTGGAGGATTTGCACGGAATGACAATGGAATTGTGGTTGCTGACGGTCATATGCTTTCCAGGACTCTGGGCTTTCCGGCAGATTCGTCGGGGGCAATCAGTGATGCGATACCCTTTTAGCACTGTCTTGATGTCTGCACAGGGACAACTAAGATGAGGAGGAGGAGAAGGTTTGGCTGGTTGCGAGAAGGGACGAACCGAGGAGGCGCGCTCGAGGAGGATTAATGGTTTTTTGCGTGGTCAAGAGAGGATCTGCAGGCATTGATTGACGCCGCCCAGAGAAGGGAGAATCTTGGTAATGATACACATTGAATGAGGGGAGGAAATCGATACATCCTGGTAATAATACAAACTAATCGATGAACGAATGGAGGGCGTCTTCACGACCATGAGAGGTGTCCTGTTTGCCAATTTCCGTCGCTGACAAGCTGGTCGCACGCCCTTCCCCTAGAACATCCGGATAGGCATACATACAGGTGGGCGCAAAGGTGAAACGCGCATCAGGCTGGTACAAGCAAGTGAAGAACAAAAGCGAGGACCCTACTAGCAATTTGGCTCCATTCACTTGCTCGCTCATGTCTCTAACAATTCCTATCGAAATGGGTGGAAAAACTCCCGTCACAACACAAGTTTCCCACCCAACAAGCTTAAGGTGATTTGCCCAGTGTCTGACATCCTCACCGGATCACCTCTTCCATACTAGAACACATTCATTCATACACGCAAACATCGACTATTCCACAACCCTCACAAATCAACGAAGCGTACATTCACAACAGCCTATACAGCTCATCACATACCCGGGCATATCCGCACCTCGTGAGCTGCAACGAGTTACATCGATCCATCCTCTGGCATCGCTACTCACTTTCAACCTCGATATGGGACATTAACCATCGAAAACCGAATAGAACATGTCAGAAGACCCGCCGACGACCGACAGCACCAGTGAATGGCAGTTCACGCCTCTGGTCCATGAAGAAGGTCTTTCTGCGATCGAGGACTTCTTTTCATCGCCGCCGCTGTTGTTGCCATCGCCCCATTCACTACCCACGGTTGGCCGGGTCGACACTCACACTGAGATTGAACATCAGCGTGGGAACCACAATCGGCTTGAAACCAACACTCAGCATGACACTGAAGACCATATCGAGGTCGATCAGGCTGATGATGTGATGGGAGCAGAGACCTCGATCTGGATGTCGTCGATTGCCCATCATGGCGGCGGAAACAATGGCGATCACCTCGCTTCTGATGACGAAGACGCACACGATACCGACACTCGCATTGAGGTCGATCCGGTTGGTGAAGTGATCACTTCAGAGGCCCCGGCTCGGAAATCACCATATGCCGATGATGGCGGAAGACCCGATAGCGATGAACTTGTTCCCGATATTGAAAACGCGCGTGACACTGACAACGACATCGAGATTGATCAGGCTGATAATGTGATCACAGTAGAGGCCGTGTTCGGGACATCATCAGCCGCGGATGACGAGGAAAAGCATAACAGCAATGATCTCGCTTCTGATGACGAAGACGCGCTGGAGTCAGCGGTCATATCACCTTCGAATGAGACAGTCAACGAATCTACTGAATTGCCGACTACTCTGCAGAGTTTGAGTAGTCGACACTCGTCTATCGTGAACGATGATCACCACATGAATGACAACACACAGGAGAAGAACGCCGATTTCCACTTCAGCACTCCTCTGCCGACTGATCGCACAGACCAAGGCACTGACAACCCAGAAACACCACCGTCTTCTGCAGAATCTCAACCACGAGCAGCCAAGAGAATGAAGATGACGCGACGTTCGGGCATGAATGAATCGATCTACTGGCCAATGTCGTCACCAGCATCGAAGCAAATCCGGAGACGCTCATCCTTGACGACGATATCCGGGTTTGATTGTCAACTCACAATGCAAGAATTGCTCAAAAGCGAATCTGCCGACAATTTTGCGATCAAGGACAAGAAGGACCTAGAAGAGACGAGTCCACTCCCATCGCACACAACCGGGCCCGTCGATGTCCTTCAATCGCCGAAGTCTCGTCCACGACACGACAGCGTTGCCCAAGTCGATGATTCAGACACGACCATGACCTCACAAGTCGTTGCAGACCAGACAACCGACGGCGCATCACCGGAACCTCTCAGAGATCCAACAACATCTCCGCTCCCAACCGCTTCCTCTATTCAAGCTCCTGCTCCACCACCGCCGTCCAAGAACGGCACTCCTCTCCCTCGGGAACTTCCCTCGTCTCAAAGGGGGTCGTCATCCAATGAGGCCCGCTGGAAGCGTGAACTCACTAATTTGGTCGGACAGCGTCCTCCGCATCGCCGCCGGACCCGCTCTTCGATCCAGCAGAGTGCTCCGGATGTCGTGGGAGCCGTGAAGCGGAGAAGGAAGGCGAAGCGATGAGAAGATGATACCGTGGACGAAAAGGGGGGAAGGTGGAAGGACGGGGACATTTCTCACAAGTTCGAACCAATGAGGAGGATTTATCTGTGCTGATGGAAAGTACTATGCTCAAAGGCGATGGGAATGATCGATTGCTTCCTGAGAGCTGTTCCCACCACCAACCGTGGAGAACCGCCTACTATGTTGGTGAATGGCTAGGATCACCAACAGGAGAACACGAGATCAGATAGCTTTTCTTCTGAAGAATTCCCGCAACCAATTATGATTTATCATCTTTGCTTTCCTTCAAAAAATTCTAGAACACGAGGGTATCTCTCTCTCTCTGTCTCCTTCTCACCTTTGTCCAAAACACACACGCACACACTAGCGATCTTCCTCCTCCCAGATCTTCCCTCCTTCTCCAAACAATTCCCCCACAAACAAAACTCCATACACAAAGTTTTGCTCGTTCTTTCTCTCTCCCCCCATCTGTCTCTTTGCCAAAAGCTACCACACATCCCCCCTCGAAACCCCCTCAACCCTTCATCCCCCTCCACAGATGCACCGCATTGGCCGCCAGCCCGACCACGCCGGCGACCCTCCACCGATCATCCCTCCAGGCGCCCTCCGCGATCCACTCCCTCCGGTTCGGGCGCAGGGGATCCCAGACGTCGACGGCGTCGCAGAGGAGCATCGCCGCCAGCAGGAGCACCCCGCGCAGGAGGGCGTCGAGCAGGTCGATGACGGCGGGCAGGCCGCCGGCGTAGCGCTCGGCGAGGAACAGCTTCGTCGCGAGGCTGAGGTAGGCCTTCCGGGAGCTAGCGTCGAGATTGCCGGGGGAGTGTTGCATGAAACGGTCGAGTTCGGAGAACGACGGGGGGGCAGGAGCGACATCGCCGGAAGCGGCGGCGGCAGCAGCAGCAGCAGCAGAGGCGACATCCGCTTCGTCCTCCTCTCCCTCCTCCTCCTCCTCGGGCCGAGGATACGCCGGCTTCGCGGGCGGGCATCTCAAGCCCTTCAGGATCCCCCACCGGAGACTCTCCAGCCAGCCCGTGCGCGGGTGACGGAGTTGGAGCTGGACGTCCGCGTCGCGGACCGCGCGGAGGAATATCTCCATGCTCTGCGGCCCCGGGCCGCCGCCGCCGCCGCTGCTGAAGAGCGCCGTGCGGGCTTTCTCGTGCGTGGCGGGCGACGACCCTTCGGCTTCGAAGGCGGAGCCGATGCTGGGGTGGTGCAGGAGGCGGGTGTAGAAGGCCGGGGTGAGGATTTTGATCGTGAGGGTGTGGTCCAGGACGTGGGCGCGGGAGGGTTTGGGTTGGTTGTTGTTGGCGTTGTTGTTGTTGTGGCGGGATTTATTGTTGCTGGGGGAAGAGGAGGAGGAAGAAGAGGAGAGGGAGGTGGAGTATGTCGGGCTGTAGAGGACGATCTCGCGGTGGGCGTTGTGCGCGGGCTCGTAGATGACGCGGAGCGGTTCGCGGGAGGTCTCGACGGTGTGGATCAGGAAGGCGCGGAAGAATTCTTCCAGATCCCATTCTTCGTCTGTGTAGGGTCGCCCGATGCTGCTGCTGGTGACTTCCGGTCGGTAGAAGATTTCGAGTTTCCGTCGGAAGAAGAGCTTCTGCGCTTCCCAGAGGATTCGGGGGAGTGTGGCCAGACCGACCCACCACCATGTCGCGATGAACCGGGACAGTTGGAGGGCGGTTATGGTGGTCGGTTCGAGGGGCGCGTCGGTGGAGAAGACGCGGGCGATGATCTTCGGGTGGTTTTCGGAGGATTTCAGCACGATCGTATTGTCGATTTGGACGCGGCCGGTGCGTTCGAGGGATGCTAGAGGGTCGACGGCGCGGAGGGAGTAGGAGCCGTTGCGGCTGTTGAAGGGTGATACATGGAAGTCCTTGGACCAGCTGTTGGTGAAGACGACCGTCTTGGTTGAGGATTGGTCGCCCTTTGTTTCCCCCACGTCGAAGTCATCGAGAGCTGCTGCTCCTCGTCCGGCCTTCAGAAGATACATACGTCGCTCGTCAAACGTGTTGTTCACCTCCAGAACCATATATTTGAGGTTGGTGTCTTCGTCGTAAAGGTACCAGAACGAGACGGGGTTAAAGCTGTAGCCCAAGAACCGCGGTGCCGTAACCAGATATGCAAATTCATAGTCCCGTTCATCGACTCCCTGCGTTTGCAAATATTGTTTCAGCTTCTCTCCTAGAGTCTGCTGGGAAGTGCTTCGATCGAGATAGTCCGCCGAGCGAATGTCAAACCACGCCGGGCTAGGACTGTCCACCGACAATACATTTCCAATGCGGCCCTTGATTCCAATTGGAATTCCGACATATAAATAGGAATACGAGAAGGAATGTTTTTTGGGAAACATCCGTGAATGGGCTGTTCGGCTGCGGATGAGCAAAGGCGGCAGAATCGACTCATCAATTTTCTGCTCCACCAAATGCAGGCTCCTCGTCTCCTGCGAGCTCAACTGCTGTCCGCGCACCACACCGACACCGGCCAAGATACAGCATACTCCCAGCAGGGTCCCGAGGCGGAAATATGTCTGCAAGGCATCAGCGTCCAATTTCAGCGCGATGGAATCTCGGAAGGCTCCCGGTGCGACGAATGTCCAACTTCCCGTGATGAAGCTGTAGACGCTATGTAAGACGAGGAATAGTGTCAAGTCTTGTATGACGCTGGCATCCCCGAGATAACCGCGTAGTAACCAGGCCGGCTGGAACAAGAGGACCCTTGCAGCGAAGGTCTTGTGAGGCGGTGTGAAGATCGACCAGAACACGGTTATCGTCGTCCATGATAAAGCGAACAATGTCGAGAGCGGGAACCCTGTGAAACCGACGATATCGACGTCGGCGGAGTAATCCATGTCGGGTTGAAATCAAGGGATGACTTTCGCTCGATTGTGATAGAAAATGCAGCCGGATTAGACGGTAGATGCTGTAGATCGTTTTGCGTGACGGTGGCTGGAATTATATTATTGCGTGCCCGTACGCCTTAGAATTTCAAGATATTATGGGCCCTCATGGCAGGGAATGTATTATCGTGAAGTCGTGATGCTGAAGATGAATGTAGATATGTACTGTGAATGGATCCGTAGAGAAAATTGCATTGAACGACAAACTGGAACGATGCTGGTACGAGCTTAGGTCTCCTTGCTGCTGAACAACGGGTGGAGGCCGAGGCTGGATCCGCCTCCTCCTCCAGAAACACTACCACATGCCAATGTCACCTGCGCAGGACGCGATCTCGAAGTGATTGCTCGAAGAAGGAAAGAGAAGAAAAGAAATAGTACTCGATTTCAATAAGCACATATATTGGCGCCTTTTACATTACATGCATATCGTTCCAGGATGAGATGGAGCGAGACGGACAACAATCTGCAGGGATCGGGATGAGATGCGGGAGACTAGGGTTAGGGTTTGGGTTGATGACAAGCCCTCGATCACGCGAGTCATGTGAAGAACACTTCCACCAAGTCAATTGCCCACGTCAATCATGCCGACATCAAACCCACCACAGCGAGAGTCGTTCAAATCCTCGTCAAGTTCATGACATAAGCATATCGCATGGGCAAGGCTTGCAGGAAGCACTCACTGCATGTCTCTCAGTCTGGTACAGCAAAGACTCGCCCGTTGAATTGTGGCATGACTGTTCAACAGTCGACAGCACCGTCATGTCAAGCCCCCCTCCGCCGTTCCATATCTCAAGCCAGGCCTTTCGAAGCTGGAAAGGGGAGTTCATCCGGTGGCGGCCTCCTCCAAGCTCAAATGGTGGAGATATGTTGAAGCTTGTCGAGAGCTTCATTCCTGCTGCCAAGAACAATGATAAGCTCTCCATGCTAATTATGTAACGGGAGGTGGATGATGATCCATGATATGCTGGTTTTGTCGCAATACGAGGTCTGTGTATCAATGTGGCTGGCTGTGCAGGTCAAGCCTCGCCGTGGCGTTTGACGTCTTCGCTCGTTCATGAACCACTCTCCTTTCTCTCGGACCGGCGTTGCCACTGGTGGTTGATTCTGTAGAGCGAAGACCGGCTGTTTCGGATTGCTCACGTTCAAGATGTGTTCTGGAAAAATCTCCAGCTGCACACCCGGTGCGCAAACAACCTCGTCCAGCCAAAACACCACAACGTCTTGATGTTCGGGAGTGCGTCCCTAGCCGGTCCGCGAGCAGAGATACAGTACGTGCACCACAGAGAGAGTGCGGACATCATTCGTGTAGGATCCAGCTTGATCCAATCAAGCAAGAACCAAGCGAAACCGCCAAGATCTTATCTCCTCTGCCCCGAAGGCTGTCCAGCATTTGCGACACCAAAATGGTAATGCACAATCACCAACTCATTATAGTCTCAGTTGTACGGTCCAATTGTAGGTGATAGCAGATGGGCTGTCGCATTGCGGCGAAAATCCTCCAGCTGCCTATTGCGGTTAAGCGCCGGTCGCGTGAGCTAAGATCGGCAAGAGATCTGCAAACTTGCGCTGTGTAATGTGATCATTATTAGACTGACACGATGCCCCCGGATATATGGTTAAATTGTCCAGTACAAAGAAACATGTTCCTGGACATGGGATGATTGCAGTATTGTTATTGTTCGTGTGGAATAACATGTTCAGTAGGTTTCCGTGCAATGTCTGAGGATTATCACAGTACGGAGTATTGCCCTACTGTATTCTCGTTCACCGTTGTCTGGGCTTGATCCCATCCAACGTTTTCGTGGATAATCTCTGGCCGGTCGGTGGTGGTTGTGGCGCGGGCTGGGAGAAACCTTGAATCCTGCCCTTCCCGCCAATCTGTCTCAAGGTGACATCGTTCATGCCCGGGGCCGTCTGCAACATACGGCGGGGAAAGATCCACTCACAGACCTCGCTCCTCTCTGATGTTATCTTTCGACTAGCCTCAAAGAATGATAATGACATGTTCTAGCGGTTCGGCCACCAGAATGATCGCCATCATATAGATGCACAGCGCCGCTACTGCTAATCGGTCGCTTGTCTCGAACGGGACTACGCTTGGCTTCGCTCATCACTGCTCATCGCATCTCCTTCCAATCAGAAAGAGGCAGGCACGAGCGAGGCTAGTCCCAAACACCCTGGACGGCACATCCTGAGTATCAACGGAGTATCTCATGGTCGGTCCGCATGTCTACCACTATCATTCACAAGATATAAAGTCAATGCCACGAGCACGACCGTTGTCTTTCTTGCATGACCTTTGACGACACTCTCGTTCTCTATTCTCTTGCCGTTCCATCACGATCGCTCGGGGCTGCTGCATCTTCTCACGGGACCTCCTCCTCTTCCTCTTCCTCACCTCATCGCATTCGCACACGTGACACACGAAGATGCGTTCCAGCACAGTACTCTTCGCAATCGCGGCGGCCAGCGTCATTGACGCCGCTGCCGTCCAGCTCGACTCTCTCCGGGAAGTGCCAGAGGGATGGGCCGCTGCCGGTCACCCCGACCCTTCCACACCCATCTTCTTCCGCATCGCCATGACACAGCCCAACCAAGGCCTCTTTGAACAGACTCTGTCCGACATCTCCACTCCTGGCCACGCGAGATATGGTCAACACCTCAAGCGCGATCAACTCAAGGCTATGCTGCGACCTGCGGCGGATGCCACTGCCGCAGTCATGAGCTGGCTGACTGATGCGGGCGTCAGTCCAGAGGCGATCGAAGATGGTATGTACCCTCACGTGATCGTGTTCTGATGAGAATCGCGATACTGACAGTCCCTTTCCCTAGATGGCGAATGGATCAACTTTGTTGCTCCCAACGTCACCGTTGCCGAGAAGATGATGGACACCGAGTTCGGCACCTACAAAAATGACGCTGGCGTGAAGAGAATTCGCACGCTACACTATTCCATCCCTGAGAATCTGCATGGGTATGTATCAACCAATAATCACGTCGAAATTGGGCTCATCATCTGACTGATAATGATCCAGTCTCGTGGATATGATTCAACCTACCACTCGCTTCGGTCAGATCCGTGCCCAGCGTACTACCTACTTCAGCAAGTCTATCCTTGGTCAAGTTGGTGAACTTACCGATGCCGTCAACTGCAAGACTTCCATCACTCCCTCCTGCTTGCGAACTCTCTACAAGGTTCCCACCAACCCGGTCAATGGTACCGGCGCAACCGGCTTTATGGCCTTCAACAATTTCTTGGAGCAGGTGCCTCGCTTCAATGATCTCAAGTAAGCTGTTCTGATGAGTGACGTGCATATACAATTGCTAACATTCGCACCTCTCAGAGCATTTGAAGCCGAGTATGCTCCTTATGCCAATGGTCAAAGTTTCAACACCGTCAGCATCAACGGCGGTACCTTCGATCAATCATCTCAAGCCGACAGTGGCGAAGCCAACCTCGACGCTCAGTACTTGCTTGCTCTTGGCGCTCCTGTGAAGATGACCGCTTACTCTACCCCTGGCCGAGGACCATTGATCCCTGACTTGGATCAGCCTGACGCGTCCAACAGCGGCAACGAGCCGTACCTAGATTTCCTCAACTACATGCTCGCTCTCCCCGATAACCAGCTTCCCCACACCCTCTCGACCTCCTACGGAGAAGACGAACAATCCGTCCCCTTGAGCTACCGCCTCAACGTGTGCAACCTCTTCGGCCAGCTTGGCGCTCGCGGCGTTTCCGTCTTGTTCTCCTCGGGTGATACCGGCTGTGGTGCAGCCTGCCAGACCAACGACGGCAAGAACACCACCCGTTTCCTCCCCATCTTTCCCGCCTCTTGCCCGTATGTGACCGCCGTCGGTGGTACCTACAGCACCGCCCCCGAGCGCGCCATCGGCTTCAGCTCCGGCGGTTTCAGCGACACCTGGGCGCGCCCGACCTGGCAAAACGCCGCCGTCAGCGGCTACCTCAACCAACTCGGCAACACCTGGGCCGGCCTCTACAACCGCACCGGCCGCGGCTTCCCCGACGTCGCCGCGCAGTCCAGCAACTTCCACGTCATCGACAAGCAGACCGAAGCCCAACTCAGCGGCACCAGCGCCTCGGCGCCCGCTTTCGCCGGCATCATCTCGCTCCTCAACGCGAACCGTCTTCAGGCGGGCAAACCTCCACTCGGCTTCCTGAACCCGTGGATCTACTCTGCCGGCTACAAGGGCTTGGTCGATATCACCAACGGTAAATCTACCGGCTGCACCGGCCGCGACCAGTACTCCGGTCTTCCAACTCCGTATGTCCCCAACGCCGGCTGGTCGGCGGTCACGGGATGGGACCCTGTCACCGGCCACGGTACACCCGATTACTCGAAGCTTTTACCGCTGGCTTTGTCCGCGAGCGGAAGTTCGAAGGGCAAGCGGACAGCGATCGAATTTGAGGCGTAGGATGGGGAAATTCGACGACGGTGGAATTTGGGATTAATTTGATAGATGAGCCGTGATATGGCCGGCTCTGGAACCCTCGAGGGTTCCTTGTTCTTCTTCTACTTCTTCTCGGAACATTCTTATGATGGTTCCGCCTTTTTATGATATCATGATCTTACGACCCTACGGAATGATAGACTCTGATCTGTTTTTTTCACTAAGTCCTTCCTGCTGCTATGTGCTATGTTCGCGCTGTGAGCTTTCTACCGCTCTCGAACATCATCATCGCCGAAATATTTGGCTCTTCTTGTCACAAGCCACGATGACTTGTGGCCCCCCCCCGCACTCGTGGCATGCTCATCTCGACATCGAGGGAAATAAGACCATCACGATTGCATCTCGCGACATGAAGGCGTCCACGATATCCTCGACCTTGAGAACAACACATCGTCTCTGTCATATGACATCCTTCGCTGCCTCTATCTATCGCTACCTTTGCCGCCGCCAATGTTTGTAGCGTCTAATTACAAAAGGAAAGTCTTTCACGGTCGGACGAATCCCAACATTTTACCATTTGGAGCGTCGAAATCTCTTCCTCGAATGAGATCGCTCCTTCCATCAGTCACAGAACCCTTCGATCCCCGCCAAAGATCTCCCCATCCTCCCATTCCCGGGACGGAGCCTAACACTCCACTCACTCCCCTTTTCACCGCCCCTTGATTTTCTCCCCTGTAACCCTCTCCACAAACCCCTCCTCCACGCCAAAGAGCAGGACATGGATATGCTCGACGGCATGCACGCTCTTGATCGCCGCCCAGTTCCGGAACCAGACCAGCCTGTCCGGATCGTTTCCCACCGCCGGCAGGAATTTCTCCCGCACAAACGCCGTGATCGTGCGGCGTGCCTGCGGGTCGATGTCGCCGATCGGACTGGCCGGGTCGTCCGGGATGCTGCGTTTCGTCCAGACCACCAGGTGCGTTATCCGTGGGTCCAGCGCGTACGGCCAGTCGTTGGGGAGGATCTTGTAGCTCGCTATGCTCGGAGAAGGGAGAGGAGGAGGTGGTTAGAATAGTGGTTCCGGGAGGGCGGGGGAGATATGAGGGAACGGATGGGGGGTCGGGTGTTACGTGCTCCCTGTTCTTGAGGGCAGGGAAAAGGGGAGGGAAAAAGCAGACGATGAAATGCGAAGTTGGGGACAGTTGGGATTGGAAAGGGATTTCCTTCCTGCCCCCCCCCAAATCGAGACCAGAATCGAAATCGATTACAGCATTTCCTTCCCTGTTGGGTGTTGGAGAATTCGAGATACTGAAGTCCTCGAAAGATAAGACGTCATGAGAGCGAACTCTTTCGCTCATTGATGCCTCCTCCTTCCCTTCCCAGCACTTCCTCGTCATCTCCAACATCGCTTATCATCGCCGGAAAAAAAGAAGAAAAAAAAGGTCCACGAAAGAGGAAACAAGCGAGGAAGACGAAAACCCACAACCATAAAAACGAAAGGATGAAGAAAAAGAAAGGAAATTACAGAACTTACATTCATCCCCGAACCCCTCAAACCCTTCCACCTCCTCCGCTGTCTTCTCCCCTTCGTCCCCTCGCCGCTCCTCCTCCTCCCCTCCCCACTTCAACCTTTCCCTCACGATGAAGTCCATCATGCTCCCATATCGCTTCCGGATCCCCGCGCAGTAGATCAGATACCGCTCCAGCTCCTCGGGGATCCGATGGAAGGCATCGAGGCGGTTGTGTTGGATCAGGAGCAGGACTTCGGGCCAGCTGTGCAGGTGGTAGGGATCTTCTGTAATGTTGAGGGAGGCGAGGGAGGGGGCGTTGGGGGGCAGGGTGGTCGGGGACGGTTTCTGTTGTTGTTGTCGCTGCTGGGGAGGGAGCGGTGAGGTTGGCATGGCTGGGCGTGAAATGGGCAGTTTTTCTATTTCTTTTTTCTTTCTCTTTCTTTGATCTGGTTTACGCTTGTTTTAAATTTTCCTTTGGTTCGTTGGGGTTTTTTGCAGTGCTTCCGAACCTGTCTCCTGTAGAAGAACGTTTGCTTTCGCGTTATATGGAGGAGGGCTGCATTGGTCGAAAGCGGTTGATTTCCAGCTTTGTTCCGGGGCTGCGCTACAGCAGTTACTACGGCTGATCTTCTCTCAACGCCCATGACGTGCAGCAGCAGTTTCTGGGCGGCGGGCGCCCGCCAAAAATTCGCCGCCAGCTTGCTCTGGAATATATTTTGTCCACTTTACAATAATGGGGATGGTCGTGAAATCGAAGCAATTCGTGTCGTATCGCGGACGACAATGTCTCTCACTGGAGAGAATCAATTTCCATTTTTATCCATTATTTGATATGATCTGAGGTCAGTGGATGCTGTGCCATTGATTGATTGATTGCGAGTCTCCGAGATTACAGTGAGACACGACAGGAACTCGCATCTACACGTCGTTTCCTGCCCATTCTGCCGATCGGTCGACGCGATCATCTGCTATCCACAGCTTTGTGAGGCAGAATGTTAATATAGAATTGTACGAACAGCGAAGGACCATTCATTGATGCGTGCCTAATGAACGAGAAGCCGAGCTCAGGGCCAGCCAGCCAGGGCAACAAGCGAACCACGGTACTGTCTTGCCAGTTGGACTGAAATATATCATTTACGGCCATCTATATTTGCATGAGGGAACGAGTATGCCGGCGCTGCGTCCATGGAAACCGCTCGCTATGTGCCGAACGCGGCCGTCCCTTGGACATATACATATGTGTGTGTGTATATGTTGTCCATTTGGCGCGAGTCGTGTATGAAGACAAAATGCATCGAAACATCACGGAAGAGACTTTCGGCGCTCTTAATTGGAGACGTGTCTTTCGGGATGAAATGTTTCGAGTCCTGGAGGGACGTGCTGCGCGTACTGTCGTGTCTCGCGCGAAGCAGGACTAGACGGCTCCACGTGAGGGGACTGCAAGAATTACTCCTGCTTTGTACAGTGTTATAGTACATCGAAAGAAGTGACATGTATAGAATGGCCCTAGATGATTTTCCGAACGGTCTTTCGTTGGAAAGGGAGAAGCATCGGGAGGAAAGAACAAGGTGCGCGGCTAGCAGGGGCTCTCATTCGTCCCATGCCCCCGGACCGCAATCTTACCTTGCAGGAATCCTGGCGATTTTGGCGCCTAGGTACTATATTTCTGAGCGTACAGGAGTGGATTGTGTTTTAGGTTGCCTTTTTGGGGGGCCTGAGGAAGCCCTTCTAGAGACCATGTGAACAAGGAATTTCTGTCTCCCTCCTCGGCATCTGTCTTGATGCTTGAGAGAGAATGTCTACCGTGTATGGAGGTGTGTATCCATGAGCCTTGAGTTTGGTCGCGCATTCGAATCCAGGCTCCGGAGTCGCGTCGTGATTGCGGCTAATTCTTGGCCAGGAGGCAAAGACGCGACGAGAATAGATTGATATCCTGGGCGCCCGACGCGATTGAGTGACTTCTCGCGCTGACCACACGATCCGTTTTCGCGAGCAGATGCAGTAAGTATCCTTTCATGGCCCTTTCTGACCTTGGAGCACGAGCTGTCAGCTCCAGCTCGCCATATGGATGAGAGTTTCCTCGGTGCCACAATAGGAGACAAATATAGGATGGGACTACATCTGTCTCAAGTACGTGCAGGAGGACATTCACGATGGATAGTGGATAGTGGATGACGGATGGCGGATGGCGCCGGTGGCACAGTCGAGCTGCAGGTACCATTATATTCCTGGCGAAGTCTTGTTGGTTGTTCATTGGTCGAGGACAAATTCCAGACCCCTCCCGCGATGGCGTACATGTGTCTGACGGGGAAAAAAAGGGGCAGCACACTCTGTCATCATCATCGTGGTCTTTCACATGTGCAAATGATAACAATTAATGTCCGACAGTTGACGCGTCCATTGTATTGTTGGTGCTAGTCACGATCGCCTGTCGATTTGGGCGTGTCACTCAGCCTTCTTACGATTTCTATGGCTGATAGTGGCTGGTAGTGCGTGCTGGTCCAAAGATCCGTCCGACAATAATATCGACGAAGAGGCCAGACTCGAGAAATCCGGCACTCCGTGATGGGGCCGGCCAGGAGTTGGGGCCGCATCGTCTCCTCTCTCTGCCTGCCACGCCTCAGAACGCGCCGCCACTTGATGAGGCGCGCGCACCCGCAGCGACAATGGGCACACAACGTGGACGTTTCCCACAAGTCCTTCTATGACAACTGAGGGGAGAAAGGGGTTGGCATGTTGGAGGAGGAATCGAAGAGAGTTGGTTACCCAACGCTGAATATAGCCGACGTGGTTGGCCTTCCAGCCGGCCTTATCCCTTCACCGTGGTAGGTAGTCGGGTCAGTCCACCGCTCTCATCATCATCACGGAATGGTCTTCTTCCTTTCAAGTATACATCGTGGATCGTGATGTTGCCCTGGGAGATCGAGAATGTTGATATATCGTAATTCCAGAGCCATCTTCATTTATCGCCAGCCTCGACTCGATGAGCGGCGGTCATGATGGAGAATGGTGGTCGTTACGATGAAGTTGAGCGCAACGACATCAACGACGACCGTGATGGTGATAGATATAGCTGTGCCATGAATGAAGATGATATGTATACGGTCTCGCCTGGTGCCCTCTCTGCGCCGTGATTCTCTCTTCTCGTCTCCTTTTGTCTCCGGTCTTGTTTCTCCTTGTCGGGGCGGTGTTCCTCCCCCTTATGTGTGCTGCTCCTGCTACTACAGTATAGTGCTGCCTCTCCTCCACCTTCTCGCTCTCGACGCGCCCATTTCCTACTCCTCCATTGGCGGCCGGCCCAAGTGGGTGTTGGCGTTTTAACAGCAGCAGCAGCACCACCACCACCAACAGTAGCAGCAGCAACAACAGCAACAGCAAAAGCAGCACCAGCACCAGTTCGCTCCGACGCCCACCCACTCGCTCCCGCAGCGGCGCGTTTCCCTCTGTCTCCTCCACCCGTCCAATCCCATCCATTCCTGCCCGCGTCTCGTTAATCTTTCCTTATCCTCTCCTACTGCATCGCCTATCACACTTTCTTTCTAAGGCCAACGGACAAACGGCTTCACGTTTCTTCTTTGCTTTCATCACACACGCTCTTTTTTTTTCTCGCTCAGCACAAACAGTTCTGGACACGGACACCCACACGGACTCTCACTCCTTCCATCCTGTCGTCGTCCAGCGAGAATTTCCAAAATTGATTGCTGGCCCGTCCGTACGCCCGGCAACTTCGCCTGTCCTGTCCGCGCAAATTACCGCCGGTGACACTTGTGCCATCACCACTACAGTCCATATCCTCTGGACCACACATTCTCTCGTGCAAACCACCCTCATACAGATCTAGACGATCAAGGCGACAACAACAGCCGCAGCAGCAGCCGCAGCAGCAGCGACAGCAAGAGCAGCGGTATCGGTCTCATACTCATTCGCAGGCAATCTGACCACTCGGCGGCTACTCTCACACGGAGAAATCGTACTGCGACAGGGAGTTTGCACCATCTGCACCGACTACACATCACGTCGCCATCACCGACAGTAAATCCAAAGCACACTACGAAATACCATAATCATAATCATCACTTGTGCGTGAAGGAAGTGAAGACGGGCCGAAGACGTAATATCGCAGCCATCCCATCTGTGCTCATCAACGCCAGCGATCGGTACCTCTCCGCTGAGGTAGTTCGGACCACTGCTCGCTCCTTGACGCGACGACGGCACAGAGTCTTTCCGCCCTCCCCTGCACATCAAATCTAGGAATACCCAGACCACGCATCGCGAAAAGGAACTGGTGCCACACCGCTCCAGTGTATGGTACACACCACAGGGTTCCGCCATCTTTCTAACCTGCACACTCACGACCTGCCATCATGTCCATGTCCATGCCCCGAGCGGGACCGCCTCCGGTATCACATCTGTCGATGAGCAGCGGCAGCGACTCTCGCTACAACAGCATGGGTGGAACTGGTCCGGGCACTCCAGATGACGTTCCTTACAACGGCGGTCCGTACGAGGCGGCGCGACCGGCGGGAACTTCTCCACCATCTTCCATCCACCCAGGAAGCTTTTCAGACTCATCGCGACCGTCCGGAAGTGGTGCGAGCAGCGGCCAACGACCTCCTTCATCCGCCAGCTCCGTGGGAATGCTTTCCGCCGACGGCCGTCGTGGTCCCATGAACAGAGACAGCTCCCGCAGTCAAATTCGACCTGAAGGCGAGGAGGCGCTTTCAAGACACTACGTGGCGCTCAAGTCATATCTATCACTCCAACTGCATGACGAAAAGGGTCAAATAAAACCAAACAGAGCGCGGGACAAGCTACTCCGACTTTCCAGCACCCAGTTCATGGAATTGAGTACCGACGTCTACGATGAATTGATACGCCGCGAGGATGAGCGCCTGCAACGATTGGACAATCCACCTCGCTTCTTGCTACCCAAGCAAAACTTCCACCCAAAACGCAATCAAGCTCGACAGAAGTTGTCGACTCTCCCGATTGAGCGCTTTCGTCAACTCGCCACCGACGTCTTTTTCGAACTCGAACGACGGATCCCACGGTTTGTGGGAGGTGCCGATCGTCCCATGAGCAGTACTAGCAGTGGCTCAAGAGCCCCGAGCCGTGGAGGGATGCGACCACCTCCACCTTTTGGACAGAACGGCCGACCGCGCATGGGCCCGAACGGACCCATGTCTCCATATTATCCGCCGGGGAGCCCCGGAATGCCCCCTGGCAATCGACGCCCGAGTGAAGCGGGGTCGATGGGAAGACCACTTCCCAAGACCTTTCAAAGCAGCACGATCGTGCCGAACAAGAGTACTATGGTTGAGGATGACGAGGGAGACGACGACTATACACACGACCGGACGCACTCCGGGGGGTCCTTTGCAGACCGAGCGAAATTGGAAGCGCAGGAAGCGGAGATCACAGTGCTCAAGGAGAAGTTGGAGGATCTAGAGACCAAATTATCAGACGGTGGAAATTCAGATCAGTGGGCGAGCCTGCGAGAAGAGCTGGAGCAAAAAGTCCTGGATGCGCAAGCTTTGAATGAGAAACTACAGAGTGAGATCGATCAACTTCGGCAAGGCAGCTCGGGACGAAGCATCGAGGAGCTCGAAGAACACAATCGGGAGCTGCAAGCCAAGCTTGCTGATGATAACGCAAAGGCTGCCTATGGCGATCGCATGGAACTTCTCGAGGAAGAAATCGCCAAACAAGAGACCATGATGAACGAAGTCCGATTGGAAGCCACGAACTATCTCAAAGAGATGCGAGATCTCAGCCGACAACACGATCAGGCGATCGAACAGGAGGAGCGACTCGCCACTCGAGTCAAGCAGCTCGAAAAGGAGAATTCCGAATGGCGCTCGCGATATGCGAAAATCAAAGCGCAGAACAAGTCGTTGCGTGCCTCCACGATGGGTCTCGGCTTGTCTACGGAGCTGGATCACAGCAGTCTGCTCCGACAGGAAGGAATCATCTCCGAGGGCGGACTCATTCGTGACACGGATGTGACTCGATACCAGCTCGCAGTCGAATCGCTGTTGCACGTTGCCCGCGGAGACAGCACTTCTGAGATGCTTACCAGTGTCAAGAATGTCGTGGTCAGCGTGTCTTCTTTGACCGCGGCGGTCGGGACTGACGGTTATCCGACCCCTTCTCCATCACCGCTGGGTCCCAACGACGGTCCTCAGCATCCAGCGCCGAGTGTCGCCAAGATCAAAGCTCGCGTGACAGGCACCGCCAACAGCCTCATCACCGCCACCAAACAGCACGCCGCGGCGCATGGTCTCTCGCCGGTTGTCTTGCTCGATGCCGCAGCTTCCAATCTCACTGCCGCTGTCGTTCAGCTGATCAAGGCCGTCCGCATCCGACCCTCTTCTCGCTCCGAACTCCACGACATCGAAGCCGCCGATGAGATCCAGTCTCTATACGGCGAAGATGACGACCGCATCCCTCAACACACCGTCGACGCACACGACACCCACCTCCACACCATCCACCACGACCCACCCACCGCCACCCGCGAAGACGAAGAAGAAGAGGACGACCACTTCAACGCCTACAGCCCCGACGCCGTCGAACCCATCGACCCCTCCCCATCCCTCCTCCAACTCCAACCGAAAGCGTACCAACCCCGCCCCTCCTCCTCCCGCTCCTCCAAGCGCAACACAAACACCAGTTCGCGCTCCTCCTCGCGGCCCCCGCCCCTCCCCGAAAAGGACGTCCCCTCCCCAGCCCTCTCCCACGCCCCCAGCAGCACCGTCACCACGCCCAACCCCGCCAAGAAAGTCAACGGCGGCTGGTTCGCGTGGGGCAAGCGCGGCGACAGCCCGGACTCCTCGGCGGACGGCAGCGTCGACGGCTACGACGACCACACCGTCTCCGTCGTCGGCACCGCCGCGACGACCTCGATCGACACCGTCGCAGCGCCGCCGCACCCCCCGAATGGCCTGCAGACATTGACCGCCTCGCAGTACAAACCTTACTCCCCCGGCGGAGCCCGGGCCTAGGCGTGTTGGGAATTCCCGTGATCGGCGGACGACGGATGATCGGGCTTTCTGCAGGGATGGATGGACGTGACGATGTCAGATAGAGACGGAGTTTGGATGAAATGGAATTGGAGGACTCCCCCCCCTCCCCCGCTATGTATGATTCGATGGATTCGAGGACCTTGGTTTTATTTTTTTCCCCTCTCTTTCTCGAATTTTTGGGTGTTTCTTGTCCTACTTACTTACTTACTTACTTACTTACTTACTATACTACCTTCTTCACGGCTGCCCTGGACCAATTGCCACTTTGCTCTTCTTCTGTTATACTACTTATTTTCCCTCTTGAAATCTTCGCTTGCTCTCTCTTACCTTTTTATTTGCTGACGTTGCATCTCGGCTTTTGGCCTCTTTCGAACATTCGCGGCTTCCTTCGCGGAAACGAATACCAATACATTCCTCCTGTAATTGACGCGATCCTTGGTCTCCTCGCGGTTTGAGGTGGGAGGTTCGTTTCATTGGACGGATTCGACGCTGGTTGGGGAATGATGTCAAGGATATACTTGCGCGTGCGAATTTGACATGGGGTTTCATCCTTGTTACTGCGGCTCTGACTTCACCTCCCCATAGATGTCTTCCTTCTCATTAGCTTATTATCTTCGGACACCTCGCACGTGTTTGAAAGCACCGGTCTGCTGTTTTCGTCTTGATTTCGGATTCCCTTTGCCCGCTGTTATGCCCTCTCTGGTCATTTCAGGGAATCGTCATACCCGACACGGTACATAGTATGGGAGTTGACGGAATCTACTATAGTTGAAGTCTCGCATCGTGAATCAGAGAAAGCGCTCCATCCAAGCCGGCAACGGTGATTGTCGATAGTCAGGTTGAGAGCAATGGGAACTGTGGGCATGGCGTTCTTTCCTGCTCACGTTTGTCCTCTGTGTAAGGTTCACTCTGAAAGTGCTCGTAAACGGAATGAACGGCTACAATGCTTCCAAGGGAAATGCTTTGGGCAGGCATGATTTAATTCTGGCAAATCCTTGACGATCGAATGCGGTGAGTAGTTGCCCCCCACTGTGAGTGCAAATCGCCGCAGGGAATAGTCTTTGATTGATTCACGGACTTCGTATCTGTCCTCGTCAATCGGTCTTCCTTTACCATTGACGTATCGTACATTTACACTATGATACCTCATTTTCCCATCGATGTCCGCAAACTGGACAGTCCCATCGACCTCGCTTTCCGGTCTTCGCCTTTTTGCAATCTTTGCACTTCCACTGAGTCCTCCAGGTGCTGATGTAGTTCATCTCCCGCTTTGCGCGTCTAGGTCTATACCGCCGCGAAGCTAAGTGTTTGGCTCTTCGCTGTGACTCGGCCAACTCTCGGGCTACCCTCTGCGCTTGGACGGCGTATTGCTCATCTCTTTGCAACCCAGCTAAATGCTGGGCTTCCATCTGAGCTAGAGTATCGGAGTGCGCTTCTCTCTGCTCTTCAGCCGAGCGCTGGGCGTCTCTCAGCGCTTCAACCATAATCTGCGCTGCCGTCTCCGCCCGGGCTGCGAATTGCGCTTCCAGTTGCGCCTGATGGGCTTCCATCTGCTCGATTCGCTTGACGAAGCGTTCGCGTTCGGTTTCGTTGAGGCGGATCTGCTCGTCTTTTGTTCTCTGGATCTTCTCTTCCAGGTTCTGCTTCTGCAAGGATAGTTCCCTTTTCAAACGGATATTATCTGATGCATCATGTTAGTTGTCTGGCAGTAAGACGTGAAATTTTGATAAGGCATGGAAGACATACTTCTGAGCTCCGCGCGCTCAGACGCACTGCGCAATTCCATCAATTCCTGTTTATGCACTTTCCTAAGCTTCTCGATCTGAGCATTAATTTCTTGTCCTGCTTCAGTGCGACCTGGCTCGACACCGTCCATCATCTCTTGCTGGATGCGGGGAATGAATGAAGTCTCATTGAGTGATAGGACTTCCTTTACGAGGGCCTTTGCGCTCGCGAAGCTGTTTTCCAGATTGCAAACTTTTGACCCGGCTGCGATATAAGGCGCCCAGAATCCACCAGGCTTCTTCAGATCATAGGTGCGTAGTTCGACGTCCGCATCAGGGGTAATTTCCGCTTTGGTGGTCGCCAACACTACCTTGTTAAGATGATCCTGACCGCAGAGCTTGCTGAACATCCTCAAATTGGTGATTCCGGCTGAAGTCATTCTTGCGTCGGTGAGAGAATACAGGTAAATGATGCCCGAGAAGAACACCCCTTCCTCTGCAGCATCTTTCATCCATTCGGCCAAAGCATGCAGGATGTCAACGTCGCTCTTGTGAGTGTCGTTAAACCCAGGAGTATCGACGAGAATGACAATCTTGCCATCGATATAGCATGAGTAGTCTCGAATCTCCGCTGTGCCTGCGAGACAATGAATTAACACCACACCTTCGAGGTAGAGTATGTGATTGAGGCAGAAACCCACAAGACGTAAGGCTGTGACCAATTTCCACTTTCTCTGGAGCGAGTCTGTTGATGAACGTGGATTTGCCAGTCCCAGTGGCTCCCATCACAGCTATGACGAGCTGGTCCTTTGCAAGCGGTCTTGGATTCGCTTCATGCGAGGCACGACTGTGCTCGACCTGAGTGTTTTTCTCTACTTTGAAAGCAGGGTCCTTTTGCTCGTCACCTTCTCGACGAGCTTTTATTGCGGCAAGTCGGGCTTCTAATCCTCTAGTTCGTGGCGTGCTTGGCTCGATGCTAAGCTGTCTCAAGTCGATATTATTGTTGTGTCCATCGAGCTCTGGATTCATCGATGAATGGTGGACTTGACTTTGGATCGACGCATCACCGCGACCCAGTCCGATAATTCCTAGAGGGCTTGAGATAGGGGCATAGTCATGATTCTGCGCAGGATTCTTGTCTACGGATGGTGGTGGAGAACTTGAAAGCTCATAAACTCCGTTGAAACTCGAAGAAATTGAGCTAGTCTTGTCCTCATTTGCTAAAGGAGTAGACATCTTGTCATCTCGAAATACGGACGATGCGAATGCCCCTTCGTGCGTTTCTTCACAGTCTTTAGGAGTGTAATTCTTTACCGACCTAGGTATGGAATCAGATACGACTGTCTGAGTACCCAGCCTGCTTTCATGCGACTGCGTCATTGACTCTCGAAATCTCGACAAAGCATCATTCTGTAAGTCGGTGTGATCATCGAGGTGACGATCCGGGATGAATTTCTCTTGCGTGTCGATGTCTTTGTCTTGCAGCATCAGTAGATCTTCACACGATCCCGGCCAAGCCCCAGGGATGGGAGATGGATATGGCGCCATCGCTGTTATTCGACTCGTTATTAATGATTAAAACGATAAAAGAGAGATGTCTCGTCGGATTCGTGGAAGACTCGACTTGAACAGTGGCAGAACCTGATCGAAGCTCATGCAGGCAAGCTGCACAACCCCCTCCATGTATGCATTGACAGCACATGAGTCACTGCACACTCCTTATCCAATGAGCGTTGCAATGTGGCGAAGGTAAAGGCTCTGTTTTCATCTGTCATGGAATGCATAGAATCCTTAACACGCTTGACTCCATTCATACACATACTTCGCTACAGAATGGCTGGAAACGTCTGCTACTCCAGTAGCTTGATCGAGCAAAGTCTATCGGCGCTCGGCTTCAGATGCACTAGCAGTACGCTATTACGGAGCTCAGATAAGAAGCCCATGAACACAAAGCGCCAATTTGTTGCTGGTGTTTGGAGATGACTCACGTGTGTTGGATCTTGGTAGGCTCGATATGACACTCTAGATCTCCCCATGGCACAATTAGCCGATACATGTTTCGGGAAGAACAACATTGTCCGTTGACAGAGCCTTTCCAACAATTTGCGGCTCCGATTGTAGACAGCGAAGATTTTTGAAATCGACATGCCGATTTCCTCACAGTGCCTGAAATTTATTGACATAGTCCACCTTGCAGTCAGGACATGTCTACTCTCCGAATTTCAAAGTAGACTTTAAACAATTGAAACGCCTCCAATGCAAAAAGATTCGTCGTCGGTAGTTGACGATGGGTGCCCCATGGGCCCTGACCTTTTCTCGTAGGATCTCCATGCCTCGCTGTAGACGCTCCTCATGCGTCGCGTTGAGTCTTTCTTGCTTTAGCCTGGCCTTTTCACTCCTGGCCTCTAACTCGATTTGTCGCTGACGCAAGCTCTCGATGAGTTTGGTATCGGCTGCACATTGAATATCCCAGTCAGCGATGTAGTTGAGAATGACGAAATCAGATGTTTGCAGGATACACCTACAATTCTGCTCAGCGAGCGCCAGCTCTTGACATAAGTCTCGCAGATCTGCTTCGAGCGCTTTCCGAACATCCTTCAACTTTTGGTCAAGTATCTTACCCGCGACGGTCTCTGCGAATGGCCGTTTGTATCCTTCCGACATCTCCCGCTGGAGTTGAGATGAAAATGTCCGTCATTGATTGGTCGCAAGCACTTCGGTGATCAATGCGGAAACGCTTGCAGTATCATCGCTCATCTTGCATACTTGTCTTCCTGCCGCAACATAGGCTTGCCAAACGCCTTTTGGATCTTGCAGTTCCTCAAACCTTTTAGCGCTGATTTATGGGTCTGCGATCTCCCACTGAGTCGTCGCCACGACCACGTTTGGTAGATGACGGTCACCACAAATGGCTCGGAAGAGGCTCATATTCATGATGCTGGATGCTGTTCTTACGTCGTCGTTTATTGAATTTAGGCAGATGAGTCCTGAGAAGTGCACGCGCACCAGCTCTTGGGAGGCTTCTCTCATGTAGAAAGCGATAGATATCAACGTATCTGCGTCGCTGCGGTTGACATCGTTGAACCCAGGGAGCTATACGAGTTTGAATTTTCTGCCGTCGATGTTGCATGTGAAATCTTTGACGCCGTTCGAACCTGGCGGTGATGAGGCATTAGTGTCCGCGATATAATCTTGGATGTTAGGGAGTTGCTCATAACGTGTAAACATACTCGAAAGAAGCCTGTGGCCAATCACTGGTGGCGCCTGCGCAATTCTGCTTATAAATGTCGATTTTCCAGCACCTATGGGCCGCATGACGGCGATGACCGATTTCTTGTGCTCGGGCTTGGATGGCTTTCGTGACTAAATACCTGGTCGTCAGAAGGGCTGTCAATCAGCAGCCTTTCGAGCGCTGTCATTCTCGTGCCGTTCGCGGCAAATTGATCTTACCATTGGCACGTCTGTAAGCTTCTATTTACTGCTGCAGACACAGGTTACTGCAATGGATCACGGCATCGATGGAAGACAGACGTTCTGTCAAGTTTCAGCTATGAAAGGGCCCTATCGTGATGATTGACATGATACCAGAGATTGCGCGACTTTCTTTCACGAGACTTCGAACTCGAGCCTGGTTTATCCCACGAAAGGGAGGCGCCATGCAGAGGTGGCCACAAGCAAGTCAAGCAAGTCTGGAGCCTGGACTTGGCTTGACTTGAGGCCTCAAAACCGTGGGCTTGACTTGCTTAAGAGGTCCGAGGGGATGGCTTGACTTGCTTGACTCGGCTTGAGCCAAAAGGCCAAAAATTCAGCCACCTGCGAGATTTGTATTCGCGACCTTAGAGTCTACGATCCCCTTGCTCTACCGCTGAGCTAAGGTGGCCAGAGCCATAACAGCTGGACCATTTGTGCCGATGTCTGACCCGGTGTTTTCGGGGTATTTCAATGCTCTCCGAGGGGTGGTTTCTCAGACCGAGTGTTCGGGCCGACACGGAGGATGACGATGTCGTAGCGACGTCGTCCGCGCGACGCTGGAGGTTGGTAGTGGCGTGACGACGTGTCGTGCGTGGCGTGGCGATCAGTCGCCGTTCGAGGTTTCAACCGACAGACGGAGATCGAGGTATTGACAATACGGCTGAAGTCATGCTGTTAAGCCGCCGCATTTCGTCTTTCGTGATGCTGACGACGTCCTGTTAGAGCCAAGACTTCGTAATCATCAGTGATTCAGTAGTGTCGTCCTGCATCATACGTCTTCTCGGTGACAACGTGTTTCCAGCGTTACTGAACAATCGCTCTGGCTCGTCGGACATGGCTGGCACGGCGAAGATGTCTAGTGCCATTGCTGACAGCTCTGGCCACGTTGTACGCTTGCTTAGCCAGTAGGACACTGGCGATTGCTGAAAGCCAAGATCACTAGATGGAGTCTCCGCCAAATAAGATGCCATCTGATCAACATGCCGATGGCTCCTCATCGCTGAAAAGTTGAACAGGTTGGACTCCAGCTTCTGCTGGATCACGATCGCGTTATCCACTCGTGGTTGTGCCGCGGCCTTGCTCTTTCGGTACGTCTGCTATAGCCGATCCACGCTCTTTTTGGCGGCTTCAGTCCAGCTGCCCTTGTCACTCTTACTCGACCAGTGCGTCTCGCAGTAATCCTACTTGAAAAAAGGATGGAGAACCATGGCGGCGACATAAACCGGCGTGTCATCGAGGCGAGTGTAGTAGTCATCGAGTTTGATCCATCCGCGATTCACCGACGTAGCCAGATAGCTCCAGAACTTGTCCTTGCCGTCGTAGCTTGGCTCTAGCTGTGACAACGCGACTTGAGAGTTGATCTCGGCTTGGCACTTCAGCTTCTTTTCCTCAAGTATATCGAGAAGGGACTCGATTGTTGGCAGTACTAGCCAGATGGCGCCGAAGTTGCCGCCGGCATGTCCTTGGAGGGTATCTGTTGCAACTTGTAGAGGCGTTAGTATCTCACGGTACTCTTCAAGGTACGACCAGTCATCCGTCGTTAACGCGTCGTGAACCAGCGACGGCGTCGGTTGATCTTTTTTCTTATGCTGGTGCCATTCACCGATGACTTTGCTCGAGTAGTTATCAATAGCTAGTCGGAGCTGGATAGCACGATCAATCATACTGCTTACGCTATTCCAGCGTGTAGCAACGTCTAAGACAAGACTTTTGACCGAATGCTCAGCACCGTTACTAGATGACGCGATGACGTGTTGCAAGTGCTCAAACTCGGCGATCCTCTGCGGCGAGGCGCGAATGTATCTAACCACGTTGTGAAGCTTGCCAACAGGTCCCCTTGAGCGCCATTCAAGGAGGGCGGCATCGACGTCGCCGGCATACTCGTCAAATAGCTCTTCCCTAGCCTCTATATCATGTCCGAACATTATGGCAGTGGCGACAAGGTTGAAGATATGGCCAGCACAGCGGAGTCTAATCTGGCGCTTGTCGGCGTAGCACTCTGGCAAGTGCGGCAGCAGAGACTCGATGCAGGTGTCGTCGTTAGACGCGTTATCACAGACGAAGTAGCCGACCTTATCCATGATATTGAACTTCGTAAGCAAGCCTCGGAGACTTTGAGCGATGTTGGCGCCGGAGTGTTGACCATATTGACGTTGAAGAGCGAGGCGGACACTGCGGACTTTTCCTCCAGCGTCAACGAAGTGAGATACGACACCGAGCATAGACCTGTTGTTCGGCGACGTCCACAAGTCAAAACTGAAGCTGATCTTCGAGAGCGCGCTCCTTAAAGCCTCTATGACAGTCACAAGACTCTGTTTGTGAAGCGCCTTAATGTTCCTGCCTACTATCTTACGAGAGGGGAGAGAAGCTGCTGCTATAGGTAGACAGTATTCTAACAGCGCACGAAGCTCCGCACTCTCGACTTTGAGGAAAGCAATGTCATCTGTAATTATCCAGCGGTATAGTAAAGCTGAGAAGACATCCTTGTCGAAAGCGCCACGTGCTATGTTCTTTGATAAGAACTAAGTCTCAATCGAAGATGATGGTAGATCATGCTTATCGCAGCTATCTCTATCCGCAGTCCGCCTCTTTTTCGATGGATTCTCGACGCGGTGTTCTTTACGAAGGTGTTTAAGGGCTGCCGTCGTGGCCCTAGCGACAGTGAACGCCGAGAACTTCATCGGCTTGCTCTGGTGACAATATCGGCATAGCTAGTAGGCTTGTTGATCGCTCTTCTTAATGAATCTCGAGCCATGCTCATAGATGAACGATTTCTTTTCGCCAACGTTGTCGACGTCGTACTCTCTCGAGAGGTATCGTAGATTGAAACCGTCGTATTCCCAAGAGTGTACAGAGGTATCGTTACTATTTGCGCCCGTGTTCGACTGAAGGTCGCTGGATCGTTGTATTGCGGTAGGTATCGAGAGATTTGATGTAGACGGTGGGTCTGACAAGTCGTCACTAATGATTGAGGCCATAGTAATGAGTTGAATAGCGTTCTTTTTCGCGTGTCTCTAGAGCAACTCGGAGGTCAGCTGTGAGGTGACGTCGGGGTTACTAGCTTTTGATTGGCTGGCTGGACGCCGGCAGTATCCGCAGGGGAAGATAAGGGTTTGGGCTGCAGCTGGAGGGTCACGCTGAGACCCTAATCTATACGGATGAGTGACTCGCCATATTGTACGCGACATGTACAATCTAGATCTATGCCAAGACCTATGTCAAGCAAGTCAAGCAAGTCTCAATCTACGGCTTGACTTGATTACTCATAAAAACCTGGCCGACTTGACTTGGTGACTAACCGCATTTGGATCAAGTCAAGCAAGTCAAGCAAGCCGGACTTGCTTGTGGCCACCTCTGGCGCCATGGGAGTCGGAGATCTTTCCATACTTGGTGCATTGTAGCTCGCCTCGTCCTGTTTGGCCATTTTGGGATCTGGCTCCTTGAGAAGATTAAAGTCACTTTACGACTGGCTGCATGATACTGTAATAGCAGATCTCACGACTGACCGGAAAAGCACGGAATTTCCACGTCGAGTCATGGATATAAGCTCTACAACCCCACGGGTGTTTGCTCTGCCAGCGCACCAAGTACAGTGTACAAAAGTTTGTCTGAGCGTAACGATACGACACAGCTGCTCTATTAATGTTCTGAGAAAATATGTCACAGATCATTATCATGGATACCAACCTTGAAGAAACCATCGGCGGCGTTTCTCAAGACTCTCCTATGTTGGGACGAGGTATTTTCCATGTTTTGCGAGTTGGCTTGCCATTTATCGACAATTTATTTCGAATGTGGAAGAGCTTGGTCTGTCACCCAATCTAGAACGAACTCCCTATCCACATGCTAACTGACATTTCGTCTTGGATAAATCGGGTCAACTCAATCTTTGGCAACTGATGGCGAGTTTGGGTCGATTTTGGCTTTCAATGTCTCGCCTTTGATGTCTGAAGAGGACACAGGAGCGTTGCCCTTCCTCTGCTCAGCAATGGCGCCTAAATGCCGGGTATCTCCTTGCATCGTGGTAGAAGCGGCAGGTTTCGTAGCGGATGTAGACGAAACGTCGGCTTGAGCAGTGAATGACCATGCCGCTTCGTCTCTGCGACCCGAGCGATCACCAGGAAATATTGTTGGGGGGATTGGAGATCTATGACCGGAGTCGAAGAATTGAGGAAGTTGGTTTTGTTACGCAAATGTTGTGGGAACCTGTCCATCGAGACAGTCGATAGGCGATATAGGTTGTTGATTTGGATGTGAGTGATCTAGAAGCTGATGGGTGTGATGGGTTTCGACGTCATGCGAGACGCTTGCATGACTCTTGCACGGTCGTCTGATATCTGCGGGCTCCCAGAGTATCGTACATCGCAGATGCATAGAACCCGCTCGACTAGCCAATTGCCTTCCATAAAAATGAGGTGTTACTGCAACGGAACAAAGTCCGATTGCGGCAGCGTCGAGATTTCTTCGGGCGTTTGGCGATAGCCAAAATCAGTTTGAATATCATTACATGCTGAACTTTGACTCCAGACGCTCTCGGAACGAGGACAGATATGCCGTTCGCTGTAAAGCGGAACTACGTAGGGTCTGAGTCGTCCTAGTATCCGAATCGACTGGCAGCAATTCAAATGTGTGAAAGATACTTTGCGCGGGATGCCTATCGGAACTAAAACGCTGTCACTAGATATCGCAACCCACGCGCCACGTCACGCGCGCAGCTTGCCCCTATACTTACTTAGCTAAGGTCTTGGAAAATCATGACCGATAGACTTAAGGACTCCCGACGAGATAGTGGCAATTTGGACCGCGTTCATCATGGTACGTAACATCCCGCAAGACACCCCACGAACTTATGGTAGTCGATTAATAGTGTTGGAAGCTATTGCGCGCGTGGATCACCACAAGTGGCATCAACACACAAGCGATCTGGTCTCGACATCTCTAGGTCGGACCAGCGCAACGCCTGATCGACATTGCCATCCCACGAAATGTTGTCTGAGTTCAAACATGTCGGGATATGAACCCCGGTAGTTCAATGCCGTGATTGGAAGAACCTACATATTCTGAGATGGTAGCGACTCATCAAGTCTCGAAGGAGGTAGTGTTCCTTTTGTCTCAGGCTATCCTTTTTCTTGAGGTGATTGGCGTGTTGTAAGCAGTAGCATTGCTGCAAGATCCTGTAACGACGAAGGGCGCGGATCAATCTGTGGCGCTGGTCATGTCGTAGGGCGTGACATACTCTTACTGCGAGCAAGTGCAACATTGTTAGTGCGTCGTTTTAACTGTTCAGATAAGACTCAACAGGTACTTGGCCGTGTTCAAGACACACAAGGGTGAAGGATGCTTATGTCTTTTCAAGCTCGCTATTCGAAATCGAGCACTTAGCTGGAGACAGCCCAGAAAGAAGCCAGGGGTCGGATCTCGGGCTTGCCTGCTACCAAATTCGACACAAGAGAACGGCGTTAAACCCCCCTGGAATCTAGAGATCGAAGGCGGCTCAGCTCGCAGCTGGAGAATAGACCGAGGCATCGGTAGTTCGAATTCTACGACGTTGCTGCTGGCCGATGGCGGCACTGCTGGCTGATCAGACTCGACTTTCCAAGTACGTGAGCGTAGCCGACCATCCATTAAGGCTGGTCGAAGAGTCAGAGAAAGCCTTAGAACTAGAAGAATGATGTGCTGTTGTGACTGGTGATTCTGTCTTTTCTCCCAAAAAACCCCTCGCGAAATAATAATTGCTGCTCTTAGTTTGGTGAGAAACATGGTTATTCTTTAAATGTTGCGAGCTTCACGGGCTTCACGGGCTTCACGAGAACTCTCTCCACCCCACGATACCCTCAATGAACATGTGCAACACGGCCCAGTTATCGCACTACAGATTTGCTCGCATTTCAAGCTTGACGCGTAAAGCTGACCGGGCACTTCTATAGGATTACTTTAACCAAACTGGTGAGGTCAAAGAAAAATGACACTATCGATCACATCCTCGGTAGTGTAGGGTCTGGCGCTATTCTGTAGAGTCGACGTTGGATGGTTGATCACCTGGGCACGCACTAATTGTGAGCTGGTTCGTGAAGACACGCGGGCGAGCGAACTGCTCAAATGCTCAAATGATACCAGGATAGTCATTTTTGGACCGAGTCGTAGCTGAAAGATGCTGCTTACTTCGTTTCAGGTGAGTCATATTATTGCTCTGCGGGATCATCCGCCGTGACCCGGAATATTTCGGACGTCTTGAATCATGGTTCCGACATCAGCTCACGTGTGTGAGTGAGACAAGTCGGGAGCCGGCAAAGTTCTCATTGCCGCGAGGATCAAGCTCATTTTATCATCCTTCGCGTTCACAAGCCAAGCAGCAGCGGCGGCAACGGCAGCAGCAGCAATATCCAAATAATCGGAACAAGTTCGGAAAAATCAACCAACAAGCAGGTTACATCGGTCTGCAACGTCCGCGCCCGGCCCCAGGGATCAATATGTCCCGCAGGACACCAGCTATTCCCGACTGGACCTAGCCGCTTGTCGGCTGACGACTTGTCCAGACAATCCCCGCTGTCATTGGTGATAGTCTTATCTCTCGCGTGAAACCGCCTGTCAAAAGTATCACTCCGTCCGGCTCGGAAACTTCTTTTATCAGTCTACACGTTCGTGCGCGTGGCGGCAGGGCGCAGGAAGAGCAATCGTGTGCCACATGTAGGGCGCGTTCTGGAAGCTTTTTTTGCTTCTCGTTCCTTGCCATGCGCCGATAACGATGATCCCTGCGCGGCCCCGCCAAACGACAAGGGAGGGGCACCTGCTCGCGTGCCTGTGCGACATGGACCACACATCCTCTAGCACGACGTTGCACTGCGGCGTGGATGCCAAATAGTCTCTAGACGCCTCGAGAAAGACTTTGAGCCATTTTCGGGCCTTTCCTGAGGCAAAAACGCAAGTGGAAATGTATCACACGCAGCACGCTGAGAAGAAACGATCGCCTGCGTGGGATTCCCAAAGCAATCCTGCTTGCCTATCTTTGCTTTTCCCAAGCCGGAGCAACGGCACCATTTTCGCTTATGCGATATCACCACCTAGACCTGCAGACATGTAGAAGATGTAGCCGCAGAGAGAGGTCCAGAGGGGACCACCAGCGTGGTTCTTATCAGTGAATTGTTGGCAAAATAGGCTGACCGGAGCCCAGATGCTACATCGGGAAGTCTGCGCCGTGACACCACCGAACGGCAAATCTTGCCGTCGAAAGATAACCACACATTGGGAAACCGTGTGTGTGGGATCTATGCATGTTTAATACAGTCGTGCTTGCCACTAATTTCGTCTCTCGCACTCGGCCATCTGCTTGCGTGAAGGAGAAAAAAATATCCGATATATTCTTTTACGTTATTAGTGTCTCTTTCGGACGACAGGCCTACTTGACACGACCAACATCTCTCGGTCCACACGGCCGACGCACCCGCTCGGCAATGGCACACACTTTCGCCGTCAACGACGTGGAGAAGGGATTCGGTAACGTCACCTCCCATGATGCATCTTCGGAGAAGAGCCACAAGAAACAGCACGCACAGCAGTATGCTACCCTTGAAGACGGGGCTGTAGCTGGTGAAAGCTTTGAAATCGGCAACACTTGGTCCGCGAAATTACAGCGTCTGGCTGGCAAATTCAATGTCGAACAGCGTGGCATTGAGCGTGTTCCCGAGGATGAAAGGACTGAAACGGGCTTCCGTGCTTTGTTAAATGTTTCAACTATGGTATGCAATCATCTTCAGCCCTGATCAGACATTGTTGCTTCGTTTGACAGGTGCGACGATTAAGAAACGATTGCATGATGTTGACCATATCGACAGTGGCTGTCCGCCAATCTGGTCGTCTCATCCTTTGCCATCGGCATCCTCGGAAACGGCATCTGGGGATTGGGTGTCGCTGATGCCATGCTCACCGTCCTCTTCTTCAACTTACTCGGTGTCTTGCCAGTCTGCTTCTTCTCCTGCTTCGGTCCGGTCTTCGGCTTGTACGTATATCAAGCTCCGATGACACCAAAGTTAAACTCTAATTTAGCGAACATAGACGGCAGATGGTGCTTTCTCGATTCTGGTTCGGTTGGTGGGGTGTGAAGCTGAGTACGTTGTCAATACTTTGCTTGATTTCACCTATCTTTTTATGCTGACCTCACGTTATCAATCAGTCGCTGTTCTTAACGTTCTCGCTTGTCTCGGATGGTCGGCTGTCAACGCCATTGTTGGTGCGCAACTCATCAACGCCGTCAACAACGACGTTCCAGGCTACGCGGGAATCCTGATCATCTCTCTCTGCACACTCGTCGTTACACTCTTCGGATACAAGATCGTGCATGCGTACGAGTTCTGGTCATGGGTCCCCGCCTTCATTGTCTTCCTCATCACGCTTGGTGTGTTCGCACACAGCGGCGATTTCGTCAACATCCCATGGAACGTCGGTACCTCAGAGATGGGTGGGGTGTTCTCCTTCGGCTCCGTCGTGTTCGGCTTCGCCACCGGATGGACTTCATACGCTGCCGACTACACCGTCTACCATTCGTCAACCCAATCCAAGCGCAAAGTCTTTTTCTGGACCTGGCTCGGATTGATCATCCCTCTCAACTTCTGCATGATGCTGGGTGTCGCCATCATGAGCGCCACCACCCTCAACGGTGGAGACAACCGCTACGCCGAAGGCTACCACGCATCCCACACCGGTGGTCTCCTCGGCGCCGTGCTGATCTACCAACTCGGCGGCTTCGGCAAATTCTGCCTGATCATCCTCGCCCTCACCATCATCGCAAACAACTGCCCCAACATCTACAGCGTGAGCTTGACCGCCCAGGTCCTCTCGCGATACACCCAGCGCGTGCCGCGTTTCATCTGGACCGCCGTCGGTACCGCCATCTACATCGCCGTCGCAATTCCAGGCTACGGCAATTTCCTCGCCGTGCTGGAGCAATTCATGAGCTTCATCGGCTACTGGCTAGCCATTTACGAGGGCATCTCCATCACCGACCACTTCGTCTTCAAGCGCGGTTTCAGCGGCTACAAGCCCGAGGATTACGACCACCCGGAACGATTACCCACGGGCATTGCGGCGATGTTCGCCTTCGCGTGCGGTGTTGTCGGCATGGTCATGGGTATGAGCCAGCAGTGGTTTGTTGGTCCGATCGCACTTGCTGCTGGTGCGGCGCCGTTCGGAGGCGATGTGGGCTTCGAGCTGGCGTTTGCTTTTGCGGCGGTGGGATATCTCATCTCAAGGCCGCTGGAGTTGAAGCATTTCGGACGATAAAGTCTGTGCATGTCATGATTGATGGAAGCGTTCTTTGGTGTTTTACCGTTTGTGTCTATTTAGAAAAAAATTCAATGACACTCATCCCCACCAAGCCACAGACTGTGCTACATGAAATTGAATGATGGTTCGGCATTGATCATTGGATTCCAATTCGACGCCCCGTTCTTTTGCTTCGAACATAACCGAGGACGATTGCACAGGCATCGGGCTTAGCATTTCGGTCGCCACGCTCGAGTATCGCAGTGTTCATTGCGCTCGCAAAGAAGGGCCGTACTTTTTCCTCTTTATGTTGCGAAAGTCGTGAACGTCGTGGCGGTGCAGCAAAAAGAAAAAGCCCCTGCTGGAAATGCATGTCTTCAACATACTGTCGCCTTGCGGGTGGACGTCAAGGCGGCCGATGGCGGCTTCTCAGCTGGAAACATTGAGGATGATGAATGCGGTCTGGGCCGAAAAAACGTTTACGCGCCGCCTATTACCGCGCCGGCTGGTACACTTGAGGTGGACATTTCCACTATGACTCTTTGGATGTAAGCGTACTAATTCAAATCCCTCTGCTTTTCACCGACTTCCTATTGATATTACTATCTGATCTGTGATCACTGAACGAAAGGATCTAAGCAACTCGGAAGATCACGAGCTGAGGGTTTATTTGCAGTATCTGAATTCGTTGTTTCAATTTCTGTGCCTCGGAGATCAGAGGCCTCGCAAGATTACTAAGCTATCAGATCGCAAAAGTCGCATCTGGAGACCACGATGCGAAAGGCAAACAGTGAACGAAAATTGCCTGTTCAACAGCTTACAATTCTAGGTAAGAGATCTCAGAAATGCACAATTACAACATGCGAAACTTTTTTGTCCCATGTGAGGATCGACTAACCTTTCCACAGCATTATGTCGATTCGCGGAACCCATCGCCAGCACATCGCTGCTACCATATCTACCAGAAATGATCGAATCCTTCCAAATACCCCAAGCGGACGTAGGAAGATGGGCAGGTCTCTGCTCGGCCACATTCGCCCTTTCACAAGCTTTCATGGGAATCCAATGGGGCCGCTTTTCTGATCGATATGGTCGAAAACCTGCCATTCTGATCGGACTTACTAGCACCGCCATCAGCTTGCTCATCTGGGGATTCAGCACGAACCTGCCGATGGCTATCGCCGCGCGTGCGTTCGCTGGTGCGGCGAATGGCAATGTGGGCATCTTGCGGACCACAGTCGCTGAACTAGTACCGTACAAAGAGCTACAGCCGATTGCTTTCAGTATCATGCCGTTGGTTTGGAATGTCGGTAGCATGTTCGGACCGATGTTGGGGGGTTCGTTGGCGAATCCGTTGAATGTGAAGCCATACGAGCGACGATTAGAAGGCTCACTCTTGGAGAGATATCCATATGCTCTTCCCAATATCGTGGCGGTGTGCATGTTCGCTATCGGTATCATTTCTGGGATCTTCTTCCTACACGAGACGATGGAAACGGCGCGGGATAGGAAAGATTACGGTCTTATCGCAGGACGAATGTTCACTAATAGCTGCAAGAAGCTGTGGATCAGGATACAGACCACCTGGTCAAGACGATCTAACATCCGCGAAGATAGATCGCTAGACGGTGAAGATGAACCATTCATCCAAGCGAGCATCACGGACGATGAGGAAAGCTTATACAACAGACCAGCACCTGCTGTGAAACAAGCTCCTCCCGGCTGGCGGGAAGTCCTCAACAAACAATCCGTGATCAACCTCATCGCATACACAATGCTGGCCTGTCACACAATGGCATTCGACCAACTGATCCCCGTCTACCTGCAACACAGCCGCATCGGCTCACCGGATTCCACCCCGTACCACGCCCCGCTGAAATTCGCCGGCGGATTCGGGCTCGACCACTTCCAAATCGGCATGATCAGCACGGCCAATGGCCTCTTCAGCCTCGTACTCCAATTCCTCCTGTTCCCGCCTCTCGCTCGCCGCTATGGCGCGTTATTCTGGTACAAGATCGTGTCTCTGCTGTTCCCGCTGACATACCTCCTCACGCCGTTCACGGCCTTGCTGCCGACCACAAAGTCCCAGATCGCCTGCCAGCTGGCATTGCTGTTCCTCAAGGACTTTGCGAGCGTGTTTGCGTTCCCCTGCAGCACCATCCTCTTGACGAACAGCGCCACGAGTATGCGGACGTTGGGCACCTTGAACGGCATTGCGACTTCGACCGCTGCGCTCGGCAGAGCTGCAGGCCCAGCTTTCAGCGGAGCGGTCTTTTCCTGGGGCGTGAAGTCGGGCTATATCATCGCGCCGTGGTGGCTGATCTGTGCTTTCTCTATCGTTGCGGCGACTCCGGTGTTCTGGCTTGTAGAAGGCGAGGGTTTCGGTCAGCCGGCGGTTGAAGAGGATGATGATGATGATGATGATGATGATGATGATGATGATGATGATGATGAAAGTCACGATGATGACGATGACGACGATGGTGATGATGTTCCATCAAAGCGCAATGACCGTGTTGCAGAGCTCGCGGCTGTCGACAGCACCGCTGCAGCGGCGGGAGAAGCTGATCCACCGGTGTTGCCCGGCAAAGTCATTCGTCGGGTGCAGTGAATTTGAGCAATGTATGATTGACGACTTGACGATGTCCCGAGTGTATCCCGAATTTGCAACATTGCGCATGGGGGCTTCCCTCCCAAAAAGCTTTCGAAAAGAAAACGGCGAAACCGAGTTCGTTTTGGCGTGCTTTGTACACATATGAGAGGATAGACGACCGTTTGCCCATCGGATGTAGGGAAAACAATTCACACTCGTCCCATCGCCTCGACCGGACCTCGACGCAGAGGATAATTCCCATGACGACCCACTCCTCCACCCTCCTCCCACACCCATCATTCCTCACGCACCGCTCCCATCCTCCCCAGTCCGCTCCACCCTCCGAATCCGAATCGGCCCCCTGATCTCCTCGAGACAACCCACCTGCTCCGCGCCCAAGACGACGCCCCTTTGCAGAATCTCACACCGGCCCCGCGCCCGCAAGGTCCACGCATGCTCTCTGATCAAAGGCATCGCATCCCGCCAGTGCGTCATCGCCGTGGAGGTCGCGTCGGAGAGGACCTGGATGTCGGCCGACGTGAGCGAGCGCGCGACTTCGCTGGGACAGAACGTCTTGGGCGGGTGGCGGGCGGCGAGGAAGGCTTCGAAGTGGCGGACGAGAGGGGTGGCAGTCATGATGGGGAACGGTATGGGGGTTTTGTATTTCCTCTTGGCTTTTCCCTTTCTACTTTCTCTATTCTTGAGGGGGCGATGTTCTTGTGTTGAGGGTATGATGGATTCCGTGGGGGATGGAAATCTCGAGATTCGCGGTGATGGGAAGAGGGTTTCTTTCGATTAGTCATCGCGCTGCCGCGTTTCAAGGCTGGAAAGCGATGTTGCCTGGGCTGGCGGGAGGTTTTTCTTCTTTCCCAATGGGACGCATATGTGAGAATCACTAGAAGTAGCACTGAAACTGGGTGGGAGTTCCCTGGTGGAAGAGAGAACACACGTGTGTTTGCGCAAGTGAAAAATGGGGGATCTCGTTGGAACACAAAGCAAGTTCTTTTGTGGGGTCGGAGAATACCCCCAAATTGCACTATGGAGGTAACAAAAAGACCATGTCATCTCAAATGCAGAGACTCCCTCCCGCTCGTCTTCACGGCCGTGGCCTTCGCCGCGACGGGCACGACCCCGACCTCCTGCGCCGCGACATCGCCCACCATCACACCGCGCCGACCGTCCGCATCGAGGCTCTCGAGCGGGAGACTCTCGGTCCTCGCCAGGGGGACATACTCGGGTCCACCGGGCGATCCATCATCCCTCGAGGTCCACTTCAGACACCAAAGCTCCAGGTTCTTGCCGAGGGCGACACTGGGGCGGTCGACGAAGCGCTCGAAGAGGCCGGCGACGACGAGGTTGACGAGGATGATCGGGACCATGCGGCAGACGTAGGCGGCGAAATAGGCCCAGTTCTCCTCCCGCTGGGCGAGCGGGACGTCCGGGTCCTCGTGGAAGAGCCGCAGGTAGAGGGGGTCCAGGGTGCGCAGCCAGGCGCGCAGGGGCACGTGGCAGAGGTACAGGCCGAAGGAGACGCGGCCGAGGTACTGCACGGGGCGGAGCTCCAGCAGGCGCTGGAGCGGGCGGGTGTGGCCGATGCCGACGATGGTGCACATGCCCGCCAGGCATTCCAGGTAGCGGTCGGCGGCGCGGTCGCGGTAGAGGCCGAGGTCCGCCAGGGGCTGGGCGATCCAGTCGAAGCCCGGACGCGGCATGACGGGGAACGGGTCGGTGGGCAGAGCGGGTTTGGAGGGGTCGGCGGTGGGGGGTAGGGGTTTGGCGTGGAAGCCGGGGATGCCGGAGAGGTAGAAGCCGAAGGCGAAGAGGGACCAGTTGGAGATGGCGACGACGGTGCGGCGGATGGTGCTGGCGGAGGGGGTTTTGGGGCGGGTGGGGCCGAGCTGGTAGTCGGCGAAGGCCATGCCGAGCAGGAATTGGCCGGCCATCCAGTCGTCTTTGATGAAGCTGTGGGCGACCATGAGGAGGATGAGGCCGAGGCGGGTGGCGAGGGAGCGGGTGCGGGAGACGAAGAGGAGGGCGATGAAGACGACGATGGAGCCGTAGTATTCGAGCGGGATGGTCCAGGAGACCCCTCCGCCGTATTGGTCGATGAGGTAGTCCCAGCGGTCGGGGTAGCGGAGAGGGACGATCATGTGCACCATCGTCGTGACCCAGTGGGCGACTTCGAGGAGGAATGTCGCCTGTGGTTCATACGGCGTGGCTTTGGGGATCTTGTCGGAGATGCTACATAAGAGCATCAGAAATCCGGAGAGGAGAAAGACGGGGAGGTAAAGTCGAATGGCGCGACGGAATACCGCCGAGGATAACGCCGAGTAAGCTTCTTCGTGCCGCTGTTGTCGATAGAGACCCAGAATGCGATGTGAGAGGACATAGCCCGAGATGGCGAAGAAGACACAGACCGCGGCCGAACCGCTCCCGTAAATCGTCCTCACGATGGGAGCCCGCCACCAAGCCGGATCGCTGAACTCATCGTTACCCCAACTCAAGCCTTCGTCGACCCAGTCATGATTGTAATGGAAGATGAAGACTTCAAACGCGGCGAGGCCTCGTAGTCCGTCGAGCCAGGCCGTGCCACGCAGCTTCATGTCGGCATCCGGGTAATTGAACAGAGTCCGGATGAGGCCGCGTGCAGTATGGGGTCTCGCTGTCGTTGCAGCAGCATTTTGAATACCGGAACCTACATCCAGGGAATATCCTTTCCTTGAAGCGGCGCTGAAGGGGAGAAAATGTAAGAGCCGGTCTTTGAAGGAAGGCCGCAGCGGAGGCAAATCGTGTGAAGAGTGCTCGTAGTCGTCGACATCGAAACTCTCCATCAGGGCATTATGTGAGGGCCGTGAATCCTCGGATGGGGTATGAATGCGGGACATGCTGTCGCTGGAGTCTTGATATGTGTCCAGCTTGTGCTCGTCTCCAGAGAAGTCGCTCCTTTGAGGGCTTGGGATGCGATGATGTCGATCCATGTTGGCGTTAGAAGGTAGTAAGTCCCTGTAATATAAAAGTTTCGAAGTGGCCCTGATTATGAAGTTGAAGACATGATCCGTCCTGTTGGTCGGGACGAGATGCGTAGTGTGAATTGAAGGTCGCGTGTCCCCTAGATGATCCTGGCGCGTGGATTCTCCCTCATATGTTATGAATATTGCAGAAACTCAATTCATCACTATCGGTATTTCTTGATTATACCGCAGTCAGTATGGGCATCTCTCTGCGAACTATGTTCAAGATATGAGGCTTTGAGTTGTCACATCAATGATCTCCACCTCAACAAAGGGATGTTTCAATGGGCAGTATGCGTGGCAAGTCGGGGGTCCGGCGTTCAAGAAAGCGGGAGGTGTCCGTATGGGGACTAGTGTGTTGCTCGCCTGAGGATTTACCTAGGCATTGAGTTCAAAGAGCGGAATAATGCTGCCCAGGTGTTGCTTACATATCAGCACAATAATTGTGCATTGCCCATGTGAGCATTATTACATATCACATGTATGCCTAGGTATGTACATATATGCACCTGGGCAATTTCGATTATATATGTCGCGATGCGACAGCCACAAGCATCGATGCGCAAATTACACAGACGAGCTACATACGAGACGAGCTACTGTATGATCCCCGATCGATACACCTGATTCCGAGAAGAGAGGATAGTTTCCGTGTCGAGACTGTTTGGCCTCAGGTATATCATGATTCATCAATCGCTCATGTGGAATTCCATGCCATGCACAAAAGATCTTTCACAGCTTCCAGACCATGCGGGTGAGCTGCGTGTAGGATAGGTGCGGCAAGGGAATCAACGGCAGCACGACGGTCATGGCGAATAGAAGGCTTCCAATTGATGACAAGGGTGAAACAGTACAGTACCCGCCTCCCGTGCAGATTCTCGAGTGCGGCAGATCCGACGGGCAGTTTCGGCGACCGGTTGAAACATACTAGTACCGGTACATACATGATACTACTACTGTGGGTATTTCAGCATCCCAGGGCGATCCAGGGCGGACTGTCCTGTGCTGGACTGGACTGCGAGACTGGCTGTGGAGCATGCATGCATGCATGTGATTCATCGACGCTCTCGAAACACGGGCGAGGCTGTTGCAGATCTCTCACAGACGCAGGTCTCCATGTCCATATCAGACGGGTTACTGATCTTTTTTTTCTTTTTTTGGGTTCTTTCTGGTCTTTATCCTTTCGGGGATGATGGTCCGTTTGCATGATCCAGCCGTGGTTAAGATGAGATGAACATCCTCGCCGTCCACGGGCGATGTATGTGGATGTGGGATCTCATGGGAATTTTGATGCTGTGGGTGAGGCGCCATCATCTCATCTCCATACAGGTCATACATACCTAGGTGACACTGGCGGCGGAGGAGAAGCTTATTAGAAGGCCGGCATGGAGATGATAGCTGATGGTCTAAGGTCTGAGCACCCGGCCAGAGCGGTCCAGTCTCCGGGGGTCCCGTGACCTTGCAGACACCCTCTCTCTCCCTAATAACAATAACAACAATAACATGATGAACGGGAATAGACTTCCGGTGGGTGGGAAAGTCTGTCACCACTGCTGATGCGTAATGATATCGACATATTTGTGTTTGACTGTTGTATCGAGCAGTGCCGCGATTAGCCATGAGCCATCTGCCGGACCTGGGGACGACGATGCCGATGCTATCTGTCCTAGGTAAATGGTACGGTCCAGTTCAGTCCAGTCCAGTACAGGACAGTATCTTTTATGTTGTCAAAACCTCTCTCTACTCTCCCTCCACACACTCTCTCTGATAATAATGAACAACATAATGAGATAGAGCAGGAAGGGATGGAGGAAGAAAGGAAGACATCACGGGAAGGGACAAAGCTAAACCCATCGGAGAATGGTGCGACAACGGATTCGGACGATCCACGAAACTTCCCACGCACAGGCGAAACGCAAACGATCCATGTGAGTGTTAGAGTCACTCGAGGGTCACAGTCCAGTCCAGTCCAGTCCTATCCAGTGCCAGTCCCACTGCAGCATTGCCCTCCGTGGATTGGATGGATCGATCACGGATGTCCTCGCTCGCTCGCTCGCTCGCTATTTTTAGAGCCCACGAACAACAACCCGCGCAATTCCACCTGGGCAGCCATCCATCTCTTCCGTGTCTCCCATGTCTCCACCTCTGCAGCTGTGTGTGTCTCTCTCCCACAGCTCTTCTCTCCCTCGGTTTCAGCTCTGGTCCCCGTTGTCGCGGATGTGGTGGGTGGGTATGGTAGATACAAATATCTCAGTGGCGAGGACAGATGTGGTTGGCGGGTATGGTATGGTATGGTATGGTATGGTATGCAGTACAGATCGGTGGTCCGTACTGGTGATGATCTCAGATGAATGCAGGAGAGCACAGAGACGTCGCGCGTTTTCTTCTCGGGCAGTCACTCTCGTGCGATGAGACGGACGGACATGGTGAGATCGGGCATGTGATAACCGATGACTGTAGGAGTACTACTCTACACGTACTGGACTGGACTGGACTGGACTGGACTGGACTGGACTGGACTAGAGAGAGAGAGAGAGAGAGAATCGTTCGAAAATTAAAGAGAAGAAGTGGGTGGAGCGGGAGATGGCAATGGAGATGGAAATGGATGGTCGCATGGAATCGACCCGGCGCTTATTATCGCCTCTTTCTCTCTCGGTCTGTTCGATCAGTGGTTCCATCGCGCCCACCCGGCAGATGGGCGATGTCCCTCCCACCTGCAACTGGCGGCAGCAGCAGCCGTAGCAAACAGCAGTGTGTATTATTATTATTATAATAATATCCGGCGGGTGAAAAGAACCACCACCACCACCACCACCACCACTACTTTCAGCTGCACCTTCAGCTGCACCACCTCACTTCGCCTTCCCTCTCTCTCTCTCCTCTCTCATCTCGCGCCATTCCTCCCTCTAAGCGCCTGCAATCTCTCTCTTGCCCGTCGATTCCGATCTCCATCCATATCCCTCCTCCTCCCTCCCTCTCTCTCTCGCGCGCTCCCACCTACAGCACTACCAACAGTCTAAGCCATCCATTCAACAACGCTCGCCTGTTGATCTGCCCGCCTGCCCGCCTGCTTACCAACACCCACAACCGACAGAGCGAGAGAGCGTAGACAGAGTAGACAGAGTAGACAGGAAGAGGAAGAGAGAGACCAAGTAGAGAGAGAGAGAGAGTCTCTCTCGGGCTGTTCCCACTTCCCACTCACCAGAACGAGGGGACTTCCCGCCTGCTCGCACCGCCTCTGCCTCTCCCTCTGCCTCTGACCTCTGACCCGCTGCCCGCCCGCCTGTCTGATCTATTCCGTCCCTGCCTCTCTCTTTCTCTCTCTCTCTGTGCCTGTCCATCAATCGACATCTCTCTTCTCTCCCGCTACTCGCACTTTACGCCTCACCAATTGGATCTCCCGTGGCGTAGGACTTGCCGTCTACGCGCCCTTGAGGTCTTTCGCGCCTGGCACGGCCATCGATTTCCCGCTGCTTCTTTCCTCGCCATCCCTCCCACGCGCCTACCAGAGGTATACATACTCACACACACGCACACACACACAACACCCACATACACACAACACACACACACACATATCGTTGTTGTCGTCCGCCTGCGCGCGCCACTTGCCTGTCTTCCTCGTCGTCGCCATCGTCGTCGGAGCGACCGCCTGGCTTGTTTACTCGACTGCTCTTGACGATCCTCATCACGGGATCCAAATATCTCGACCTCTCCGCCGTTCCACTTCGACGGAATCCCTCACTGCCGTCTATCACTCCTCGGCTTCGAGTCTTACGGTATCCACCCGAGTCGACAGCCCGGCGACACCCTCCACACAGTTCTTCCCTCCTCGGATCAGTCACGCTCATCCCGGTCATACGAACCTCACGGCTGATCCTCCCGATTGGCTCCCAAACAACGACTGCTCCTCCTCCTCCTCCTCCCTCGACGACTCCTCCTTCGACATCACCCGGGAGAGATGCTGTCATAACGCAGTGTCTGATCATCTCGCGCGCCAAACTTTCCCCGCCTCGAGCTGATTCATCTCTTCCCACCGGCGTCCTTCTCTCGCAGACATGGCAGGCGTCGGGACCATGGCCGCCGGTCCGGCCGCGTACCCACACCCCGCACAACAATATCTTCACTCGATATCGCACTCCTCGCCTTCCTCCTCTGCCATGGACACCGCCCAATCATCCCTGCGCCCGGCGCGGGAGCCACGAGACAAACCTCGGTCACAGGGTGATCGCCGTTCGCTCTACTCCACCAACTCCTTCTCCGCCATCGCCGATCTGGGCTCGCGAGCCTCGCCCTTCTCGTCCTTTCCCGCGTTCTTTTCGTGTCTGGATTACACCAGCGTCCGCGACTTCGCCTACCCGCACGACAGTCCTTACCATTACGGCATCCCCGTCGCGGATACGTCGGGCACGACGACCCCCGCATCGGAACACTATGGCGTGCGTCGCCTGTCGGATCCCGCCGAACCGTACCGCAACAGCAGCCACCTGAGCGCGGGACAGTGGGGCGGCGACGGTGTCATCTTCGGCGATCCCGACGACGACATGGAGCCGCTGCCGAGCACCAGTTTCGGCGATGCCTACGGTGAAGACAACACGGCGCGGCGGAAGGGTAAACACCGGAAGAGCAAGTCGTATGCGGACATCTCAGACTTTGAGCGTGGCCGGCGGAGGGAGAGCGGCGGACATCGACGGAGTAAGGATCCCGATTTCTACCGCTATTCCAGCGGGCAATACGACCCGGCCGGCCGGCAGGGCCTCCGCCACAGTCGAGGCTTCGCCGCGGACGCCGTCCACCTCGATGCGACCGGCCACCGGCGCGACTCGCACCTGGCACGGAACGCCCACCACCCCCCCTCCGCCGGGTTCCCACCCTCCGCCGACCCGGACACGCGCATGCCGCTCGACGACGAGGAGATCAACCTCCACTCCAGCACGACCAACCCGTCCTTCTCGCACAACCTCTACCAGCACCACCGCGCGTCCATGCACCCGGAGGACGAGAGCGTGCGCGGCCAGGCGCTGGCGCTGTACGACTTCGAGCCCGAGAACCCCAACGAGCTCCGCCTGCGCGAGGGCCAGACGGTCAACGTCGCCTACCGCAACGGCCACGGCTGGCTCGTCGCCGAGGACCCCACCAGCGGCGAGCAGGGCCTGGTCCCGGAGGAGTACGTCCGCCTCGTGCGCGAGATCGAAGGCTGGGACCCCGAGCGCGGCGGCTTCATCGACGAGGACGCCGAGGACGAGGCGGACGAGGAGGACGGGATGGACGAGACCGAGGACGAGGGACAGATCACGCCCCACGAGCAGGACGGCGGCGTCCGAGTCGAGGCGGGCTTCCCCCCGGCGAGGCACGAGCGCGGATCCCTCGTCCCCGACCCCGACGACGCCTCGGGGCCCTCGCGCGATGAAACCATGGCGGAAGCTGGCGACGCCCGCAGTCCCCAAATCCTCTCGCCGCCGACGATGACGGCGTCCGCCGCTAGCCCCACCTCCTCCTTGCCCCCCGCGACGACGGCGGCGAAACGTTCCGTAGACCATGTATCATGAGAAACCCTCCAAAAGAAAAAGAAAGAAAAGAAAGAGGTCGTCCGCTTTTTTTTCCTCTTCCAACTCCCTTCTCTCCTCTCTTCTTCTCTTCTCTCTTCTTCTCTTCTCTTCCCTCTTCTTCTCTTCTCTTCCAGTGAACTTCCCGACCAACCACAATTTTCAAAACCCTGTCCCCTCGAGCCGGACAGACGTGCGAGAATCTTTCCCGAGAGAAGGAGAAGAAGAAGAAGAAGAAGAAGAAGAAGAATGAAGGGGAAATCCATCTCGATGTTTCGCGCCTGCCTCTCTTCGAGTCCGAAGTCGATGGAGGTGAGAGAGAAGGGGGGAGAAGGGAAAGGGGAAGGAGGGAGGATGAATACTGCTGCAAGGGGATTCGCTCTCTCTCTCTCTCTCTCTCAGTCTGTCTCTCTCATTCCCCTATCAAACGGACGGGATGATGGGAGAAGACTGCATTGCAAGTCGATCATGCCCAGGATCCGGTTTTTGAGAAAGAAGAAAAATAACACACTTTCTCTCTCGTGAAAGATCCACGAGCGGAGACGGGAACGGGGATGGGAATGGGAAATTTCCCCCTCGTGCTGTTTTCTGGACCCCTTCCTTCTCGCTCCACCAGCGGGGACGGAAAGGGGAAATGATCTCTCACCGTGAAAGACGGACGGACCGACGGGGGTCCGATAAGCTACCGCCATGGGAGAGAAAAGAAAACATGAGGGACTGCTGTCGGCACCACACAACAACAACCACAACCACAACAAGAGGAGGATGTTTAGAAACCGGGGCACCTTTCTGCCGTGCGTTCCGTCCCTTCGGGAATTTCTATCCCACAATCTTCGAATTCCCGTTCGAATCCATCGATGGGGTGTATCGAATCGGCAGATGACGAACCGGGAGGGCGCGGGCAGGAGGAAGGGATGACCACGACGAACGAACGAACGAATGAATGAACGAACGGAGGAGAGCAGCAGCAGCAGGTTGCCATGGAGGAAGGCTTAATTTCTTTCTTTCTTTCTCATTAAGATTCTCCATGTCCCCCTTTTTCCTCTTCTTTTTTTTTTCTGTCTCTTCTTCTGTCTTCCTCTTCTTCCGTTCCCGGAAACCTTGAATGCCCTATCGTGCAGAAACTCCCCCGAATTCCTCAAGCTTTGCCATTCCACCCAGTCCCCCGCTCGGCCGGGGAGCTTGGTTTGTAGTCCATAGCATGCATATCTGTTCCTCCAGAACGGTGCTTCGGGATTTTTTTCAACACCCGCTCGCGCGCCACCACCGGGGTGGGACGGATCTGGTCGTTGTTGTTTTCCCTCTCTGGTCAGATTCTCGGATTCCGTGTGTTTCCTCCCAATTCGGCTCCGGTTTCTGTATTTTTCGGATCGGATTAGATCTCTCGGGGGACCCGGTTGGTCTACGAGACATCGCCATGTCGTGCGAGCGGTCGTGAAGTTTTCTATTCAGTTCCCTTCTTGGCCACCCTCGTTCATCATCATCGTGGTCGTCATCGTCAGGGGACATACAGAGAGAGAGAGAATGTCTGCAGAGAGGTTTCGTTGACGTCGGTGCTAACCCCAACCCTACCCAGCCGCAGCGACAATTTACACGTCGGGTCCCTAATATCCTTCCCGTTATTACCCCTATAGGGCTTAGCGCCCTAAGCTTCTGCCTGAATAATTAACTAGGCTCGTCCCTTATATGATTCAGTAGAACTACTACTAATAATACGTCCTTCCTACGTAGAGAGTTCCTAGGTTATAAAATAGAGGTCTTACCTAGGATACTAGTATATTACGATCTAGCCCCGCTAACGTAACCTAATCCAACCTAAGGTATTAGCGCTTACCTTAGTATACTAGCGTAAGTATTATATACCGGTACTTATAATAACTTTATACACGCTTATACGTATATTTCTTTTGTACCTAGATAATATATATAGGAAGGACAAGTAGACCTTATATCGGCTCGTATTAAACTTATATTACTAACCTTCTATTTAAAATTAGACGATTTCCTTAAAAACCCCTTATATATTTATTAACTAGAATAATCCTCTTAAGTAACTTCTCTTATAGGAAGTTAACCCGTAACACTTTTAATACCCTCGAATATAAGTATACCTTTAGAAACTAAGGGTAAATAACCCGTACCTCCTATTATAATCCCGTAACAAAGTATAGGGAACTAGTAGGACTAGGTAGGAAATAGAGGAATAAGGGCTACTTATTTCTTAGACGATATTATACGACCTTAACCCTAAACGTTACGTAATAAAGGATACGCGACGAGGTACAAATAGGCGATATTTATAACGTCGCTTATCTTCCGCGACGCGTATATAGCGTACAAAGTACTATAGGCGCGTATATACGTATATCTCCTTTGTACCTAACTTATATATATAAGTAGTACGAGCGGACCTTATATCTACTCGTATTAAACTTATATTACTAACTTACCTATTAGAATATAAAGCCCCTTCCCTAATCCTACTAGAACTACTTATTCTTAAGAAGCCCCTTAAGTAAACCGCCTTTAGTAGTTAACCTATAATACCTCCGCCCTAATACTCTATACCGGGAAAGATAAACGTTAATAATAAAGAAGAAGAAGAGGACGATAATACTAACGCCTATATCGAGGAGCTTATACGCTAACGACTTAAAGACTATAAATAATATCGCTAGGAGTAGTAATAAATAATTACTATACTCCGAACCCTAGAGGGACGATTAAATACTTAGTAAATACCGTCTACTAAGAGCTAAGGGGCTAGTCCCCGGGTCCTAGTAGCGGCTTAAACTATTAATCTAAGAGTACCTACTATAAAGGTCCCTAAGCCCGACTTATACTATAGGGAGCGACCTAAGTACGATAAATAGGTTATATAAATAGAACTCTATCTCCGCTTTAACTAGGTAGAGCCCGGCGAGTAAGTACTATTTACGGCTACTTACCTTAAAAGGAAGGCCGAGCGATAGATTAAGCTGTTCCTAAGATAGAAACTCGCTAATAATAACCCGATACTAGACAAGTAAGGATAACTAATTAGAGTCTTAGATAGCTAAGCTAACTTTAAAAGTATTTCCTAGTAACTATTTAGTAATACTATAGAAATCTAGGAGGCGACGCGACTAATCTAGACGCTTAGATAAACCGGATCGGTTAGGGACTATATTACTAGGTTCTAAGAACTCTCTACTATTATAAACTAGAGAGAAGTACTACTCTTCGAAATATTAAGAAAAGGACTAAAGGATAACGTTAAAGACGAACTTATAAGGTACGGAGGACGAGTCGATACTCTAGAAGAACTCGTCGAGGTAGTAAGCCTTATCGGTAATCGCTTATACGTAAGAGCTTAGGAACGGAAGTATAATTAAGGAAAAGGGAAGATAACGGTCTCTCCTAACTTTAACTAGCTATTCTAAGGAAAGCTTAAAGAGGGAGGAAAGCTAAGAGAACTATATTACGACCTTTAACCTATAGAGTTATATACTATAGAGAAAAGAAAAGGGACGAAGAAAAGAAATAATAAGAAAGGAAATACTAAAGGAGGTAAGGACGAAAGAACTTACTACGCTTACGGAAAACCTAGATATTTTATTAAGGACTATACCTTAAAGAATAAAGTATAACGAAGATAGTATAATTCTATAGAGAAGAAGGCTAATAAGCTTAAAGAAAAGGAAAAGGAGATACTAATCGACGAAGCTAACGTTATTAAAGTAAGAGAATTTAATATAATTAAAGTAGGCCCGGGCAAAATAAGTAATAAGGTTAAATAGGTAAGATATAACGTACTATACTAGAGCTAGTACTACGACGACAGCTACGAGACCTACCGAGAAATTAAGGTCGCTAGCTAATAGTTCTTTAAAGAACGTAAGAAATATAGTAACCTCCCTTAAAACTAGTATAACGACGACTCGTATAAAGCCTACTAGCCGGAAAAATATAAAGAAGCTAGTAGCTACGATTAGGATAAAGAATAGTAAAAGAACCTCTTTATATAAGTATATAAAGGCTACGGAGCTCTTTACTAAAAGCTCTATACGAATAACGAGTATTTAAAATACTTCGACAATAAGAGTAAGGCGGGTAGCTTCCTATTACGGGTTAACTACTAAAGGCGGTTTACTCGAGGGGCTTCTTAAAAATAAGTGTTACGGGTTAACTACTAGAAGGCGGTTTACTCGAGGGGGTTCTTAAGAATAAGTAGTATAATAGGATATCTGAAAGGGGCTTTGTGTTACGATCACACGACCGTGCCGCCTCAGGCACAT